GTCCACTGGATTATTTGATAACCGATGCGCAGCTTAAAGTTGAAAGCTAGGCAAAAATGTTGAAACTGAATTTGACTGGGATTGCATTTGTTTGCCAACGATTGAACGACTGCAACATCAGCTCTCAGGTGCGATGAGGCATCACGACGTCGCGTTGCCTGCCAACATCAAGTCCAAACTGACCGCAAAACATTTGCAGTTTGAACTTTATGCCGCAAAAGGCGATAGCGATTGCGGGCTGACGCTGTCGACGCTGGCAGCGACGGCAACTCCAAAATAATAATAAAAAATCAAAGGCAGTAAAAACCAAAAAACACAAATCCAAAGCAACCAGGCAAAGTAAATTGGTGTGAGTGTGTGCATGTATATGTGTGTGTATGTGTGTACGGCTCTTAGCCCAAGGGCTTGGCATTGTTGCAAAAGAAATTATGGCCGCGTTGTGTCTCGTTGCTGTTGTTGCTGTTGCTGTTGTGCTAATTTGTGTTTGCGGCATTCGCATATCAAGGGGCAGGCAACTGGCAGCTGTTGTAGCAGCTGTGTAGCAGCTATGGCTCGGTCCGGTCAGCGCGAAAAATGAAGTTGACCTGCTTACAGCTGTGCCCAAAGTCTTAAACTGGAACAAAACTCACACACACACACACGCAACAATACACTTCCGAGCAAATTTACATAGGCTCGGGCAAAGAAATTATGCATGCGGCTGTTGATATTGAAATGCCGAGCAGGTTAAACTCTGTGCCGCCCACTCGAAAGTGAAATGAAGTGGAGCCAGCGGCAAAGCAAGTTTAACTTTCGTCTAGGAGCGCCAGTTTGCAGACCATAAACACGTAAGGCACGAAAAGCAAACAAAATAAATACACAAAGCTATACGACGCGAAGGCAACGTCAACGTCAACGTCAACGTTGACGCCAACGCCAACGACGACGACGGCTACAACAACAACATGCAAATTAAACTAGGTAAGAAGCTGCCTACACTTATATGCTTATGTGTATTTGTAGTGCAGCTGTTTGCGCTGCCGACGTCAACGTCAGAAAGTCGCAGGAAGTCGTTACAGCAAAAGTGTCCGCTGGGACGGCAACCTTTGTGGGTCAAATCGTGGTAAAAAACGGCTCGGAATAACTGTGCCACCGCGCGGCATTTGCCAAAGTCAAACGCATTGAGCAAGCAACAACAATGTTGCGACGCCCTAATTTTGACCACGAATAAATCAGTGAGCGTCGTGGCTAACGACGAGAACTTGGCACAAATCCATTAACACTCACATTTCAGTTGTCGCATGCTAGGCACAAATAATTGAAGTCTTTTTGGATAAACTTGGCCAACATGCAAGTAAGCCAATCCCAGGCGCGCACGCCCAAGACAACAGCTGAGCTGAGTTACCGCCTGCTGCCGCACGGCACGTTGTTCATGTTAACAAAACGAACTTTTAATAAATTCATTACATTGGCACTTTATGGCCCTGCCACGCCTAGAGCACAGCAAGGCGTAGAGCTGCACAGAGCGCTGCACTGCTTTAATGCAATGCCTGACATTACGTTTACGCCCCTACATTTATGGACAATCAAGTTTATGGTCGTACGAGTATGTTTGTATGTACAAATTCCGAGAGCTGCTCTGTTTATCGTCACTTTGCACTTCTACTTGACTTTTCCAAGATATTTTCAAATCGAACTTGTGTGTGTCACAGGGAATTGTAGTTGGGTGGCGCCGTTGCTGGAAGTGCGCTATAAAGCCTTGTCTTATTGATGTGCTGCATTTAGATCTAAGAGGGAAGCACTAACAGCATTTGAAGGTTAGAATAAACCAAATGTTAATGCAAGCAAATGTCAAACCTTTTATGCCAATAACCTGGAATAACTGTTTAAATGGTTGTGTAAACATCGATTTGTGGCCATGAATGAATGAAGAGTTTAACGATCCTTTTATAACAAAACTTCTGTACATCTCTCTTGTTCGCCCTATCCTTGAATACTGCTCTTGCATTTGGTCTCCACAGTATAACAACAGCCAGGATCGTATTGAATCTGTTCAGAAGCAATTTCTGCTTTTTGCCTTACGAGGTTTAAATTGGGACCCTAATCTTCGGTTGCCATCCTACTCCAGCAGACTGCTTCTTCTCAACCTTCCGTCGTTAACCAACCGTAGGACAATTCTCGGTGTTGTCCTTCTACATAAGTTGATTATTGGCGACATAGATTCTCCTTTTCTGCTAGGGCGTCTTCAATTCTCTGTTCCGGCTAGACCAACCAGAAATTATCGCCCCTTTTTACTATCTACGTGCACAACAGACTACGCTATGCACAATCCTTTTCGCGTGCTATGTAAAAATTATAATAGTTTGCATCACGCTTTCTCTACCGAACTGTCTCTACCCCTAATAAAATCGTTGCTTTCAGGATACCTTCGGGAAGTCGCTGACCATTCCCAGCTATGAGCAGGGGCATAGCTTGCCGGACAGGCTGAAAAATTTTTCCCCCACCGGGTCGGTGATTTCCCATTACTTTTCTTTCTGTCCTATCTACTTAACACTCTTTATCTAACTTACATTGCTTTACTTTATTAACAATTCTTCTTACTTTCATTTTTCCTATTTATTGTATTTTCTTTATTAATATAGCAAATTAAGATTATTTTAATGCTACTTGAAAACACTTTTTTCCTACTTACAACCTTCTGCTTAGATGTAGGCTCTAATAGCGTCACTGACAAAATTAGCTGTGAAAAGGGGCACAGCTGGCCGGACTGGCAAATAAAACACCTCCATCGGTCGGTGATGCTATTTAGAAAATTGTATCCTTTAACTAGGCTTTTAGCATAAAATTCTATTGTATATTCTATTGAATAATGAGGAAGACACTCGTTTTGTCGACCATTAATAAATAAATAAATAAAAAAAAAAAAAAAAAAAAAAAAAAAAGAATGCCATGTTATAATAAATATCTAAGCAAAAAATTCAATTCGTTTAAAAGCTTATCGCATTTCCAACTTATATATTTGCCTTAAGCTCAAAGATACCAAAAGATACAACTTTTTAACCTCACTGAAATTTAAACTCAATTATATTATTTACATTTATAATATTAAGAACAAATTCAATTTAAATATTTAAAATCTAAGATTGCAAATAAAGACACACATTTGTCTGAGCATTTGCATCAAATTATCAATAGACAACAGCATTTACTGTACATATTTACTGTATGCCAAAAAGATTATAGAGATTGCCATGGGGACTTTCACACAGGTCTAGCCACCCAAAGGGGATGAAAAGGAAAATTAAAAGAGACAGATAAATAACATTGTCTCATGCTTATTATTCTGTCTTTTATATGTATACGTAATGTTTGGGAAACCTTAAGCACAGATGTGCTAAGCATGCGATCTAAATAAAAAGTTGCGTATTTAATTGCCGCTGGCCGAGTCCAGACACTTCATAAAATAAATATAGTTCTTTAATAAAATGTCTTGGAATATAATTCCAATTATTACTTCAGACTTTAAAGAAACTAGGAACGTGTTTATTGCAATTAATTCATTTAATTTTTAAACCCTTTTTATTTTTGATCGGAATTAGCCAGATATGCCAATCACCCAGCACCTGCATATAACGCCATCACATCAAGAGAGTGGCCATCTTATTCAGGCGTATCTATGGAGAAGAAAGCGAAGAGTAGGGAGCAGCACACTTCCTAGAAAAAAAATTATTTTTAATAATTTAATTTAATTAACTAAGCAATATAGTGTTGACAGACGTTACTTAGTAAGTCAAACCATGTCAACCTCGCCAGAACTGTAATGAAATCAAAAAGGATAAGCACCAGAAGTCTGCTAAGGATACTTCTTGTTGATTGATTATAAAGCAACAGTATTCAACCAATTCTTAAGATGACACTAAATTATAATTTAAGAATTTTCAAATGGGCAAACGTGGTGCGCTCTGCATTCTGTATTTTCATTAAGTCGCGTTTAACTTGCCCTTGAACTGGATATTACATTCTAAATAAATAATACAAGCCGTCGTCCGCCTTGGATTGTTGACGTAACTGTTGGCATTGCACTGGACAGATTTATTTACCCGGAAGCACAACAATGCCTAATAATAATGCTGATTGCTATTTAATAAAGCTATTTTAGTAATAGGCTTGATTGCCAGTTTGCGCCACAGCCGCAAAAGTATGTGACCCGAATTTACATAATTTTGGCAATTCCCAGCTCAAGGTCAACATTTTGGCCACCAAATCGGGGGCGGAGTAGTCAGTTAAAAATGTGTTAGCCAAGGAAACAAAATAAAATACCAAAAAAAAAAACCTTTGCTCGATTACATCTTAAAATGAAATAAATTAGCGCAACAAGCTGACCCAAATCACAATGCGAAATACATGGGAATCATGAAAATCAGAATTAAAATGTCAACAACAACAAGTACAGATCTTGCCACTACAAGCTGATTACCGCTAATTGTGCCCAAGGTAATTGGAGTAAAACGAGCCAGAGACAGAGTCAAAACCAAAATAAATGATATATATTTATATTGTCGTAATGCGGTTGAGCTTAATTGGAATAAATTCTACTTCCATAAAATAAACGAGTTTAAGAAACTAATAATAAAAGAAGTAGAAAAGAAATCTCGTATATATAACTACTTCAAAATCAAAATCAACTGGCTTTATTAAATTCTTTTTGTTATTTTGTATGTGAATAAGAACAATAGCTGGAAAACAAATACTAAAGGAATAACCAGAACTCATGAGAATTACAAAGTAGGGCAAGGTTTCAAAATAGGAGAGGAGTTACTAGGGAAATTGAAGTAAACTTTGTCTGTATTTTGCTTAGAGTTAAGATGCCTAATTCTTATGGCCCGTACTGTGCCAATCAGTTCGTCAGTTAATTACTCAGAACAAAAAGTGTTATTTATTTTCGATTTTAAAGAGTCTGTAGCAAAACGAAACGAGCTTAAACTTTTAGATGAAGGAGGCCCTGAAGTCCTTGTCAGCATTGGGTATGCTGACAATGACTACAAAAAAACATCATACACATAAACATTATACACTGATAGAGTTGGATCATAAAATGGCTCAGGTAGGCTGTGAAAAATAATTTATGGTTTAATAATAACTATATGAACACATTTACATTCGATCCCTTAAGGGTAACAAAATTTCTGTTTTACGAAAAATGTTTGGTTTGGGTAAAAAAAAACCCGAAAATTCGTACATAGTGCCACAGAATTCGAAAATAAATTTGGAGCAAAAACCTGGTTTCAAGGAACACATTGCCAATCTTAAGGAAAACAATTACGATCGCAGCGCCATGAATAAGTGCCCACATTGCGAGAATATGGCCAAGAACTTTTTGTACTTAGAAAGCCTGATACGTAACAATTGCGATAAAAATCCAAAGTGCAGCCTGTGCCAATCGTCCCTGAAGTATCTACAGTATGTGAATAGAAACATAATGCAAGTCTTTGGAAACTTTGACTCGATTGTGCAGGCTGCACGCGTCTTTTCCACACAAGTGCCTCCATCCCCGAAGTACTCAGTGAAGAAACCACAGCCGAAAGAAGTCAAGTCAATTCGTTCTGAGGGCGGTGCCCTAATGAACGTACAGAAATCTGCTAAGTCTCTCAAGGCCATCAAGTCGCAGAAATCAAAGAAGTCGATCAAACCCTCCAAGTCGGGCAAGACCCTGGCCAAGGCAAAGAGCAGAGCTACCACTAGCACAAAGAGCCGCATTAGTCATGGCAAGATGGTACTCAAAAGTAAATTCAAGCCAAAACCGCCCAAGTCATCCAAATTGGCAAAGCAGCTCAGCAAGGTTGTCCGCAGCGCCAGCCAATATCAAAACTTGCGTGCCATGCGCTCCAAGCTGGCCAACAAGGCAAAGAAGCCAAAGAAGCAGCGTACCAACCCAGTACCCACAAGCATCAACTGGAGCCTGCTTAAACGCAACATGCCCAAACGTACCAAGCCAATTCTTGTATATTAGATCGCTTTGAAATACTTAAACCGAGTGGCATAAACAGACTTGACTTATTTTGAACGCCTGACAAATATCGAACTCTTAGCTTCGTCAAAATTTTCCGTAAATATACTGTAAAGCACACGCATTTAGGTTATAAAATACAAGGTTTAAAATTAAGAAAACATTTTCAAATTATTTTATTATCATTACATTTTTTAGAATCACCTCTTCCGCAGGTATGCCCTAATGCGGGCATTTCCCTGGGAATGTGGACACTGCGCTGCATACTTTTTTAAAAAGTTGACCAAACAATCCTGGCCACCTCGCAATTGCCGCTGGCAGCTTTGAATACAGTTTCTCACGTAACCGTATATTTATACATGTTGTATTGACGCGTTGCAAGTTTACATAGTTTGCACGGCCAAAGATGTGTTAATTGGCCTGTCCTTTTATAATTTTTGTCAAGTTTCTAACAAAATTACCATAGGCCAGCAACACTTCTGGCTGTAGCCCTATTTTTATACCCTGTTTCAGGCAGTGTCTCGTTTCAGGCAGAACATACAATCATGGCATGGCTGAACTAAAACCATAGGGCAGATTGATTCTCAGTCACACGACAATTGCATACCCTGCATGCATTCCATTAATACTTCCATTTATAATTTAATTTAAATAAAAAATCTGCTTATGCGAAAGCTTTATATCCGACCGATCCTATGGGATATTACCTACCCAAATGATTCTATTCAATAGAGTATGAAAAGAACAAGATTCCTTCTAAAAGAATCAATAAAACTTCTTATCTTCCACGTTAAAATAAATTGCATGCTGTAGTTAAAACGTATCTAACGTACACTCCTATAAGGCGGACACTCCTCTTACGCGGCCATTTACTGTGAAACCTTTATAGAACAGGCCACACAATTTTGAACTTCCAAAACAACAGAAAATTTGCTGTGCACTTTGTTGGCACAAACGAGTTTCGCTTAATTGTTGCAAATATTTTATTATTGCAAGTGTAGGCAAACGTGCAATTAGTGTTGAGTGTCCACTACAAAGCGGTCATCGGTTATTAAATATTTTTCATTTTTTTGTTTTTTTAGGTGCTCCTACCCTGCACAAGAGCCACACAGGCGACTTCAGTTTTTCGAGTTAGCAACCAGCCGCGAGTGGCAGAGCCAAATATTTTGTCAATTTAAAATCGAGCGGTCAGTAAACGTCCATCGGGCCGGAGGCCAGGTCCAATGGGTAGCCGGAAAGCAGCCAAATATATTTCTATACCAACTGACTTTCGGGTCGCAACCGGCAGTTGGACAATTTTACGCCATACACCCACAAATGGGCCGCTTACGCAGCTGTGAACCCCAATGGACGACCCTTCATTTGTTTATCCCGCCGCCGGCCAGGCATACTACTATATGTATTCGTGTGTGTTTGTGTTTTGCCAGTGTCCATGCCCGCTTCGCTGGACATTTGGCTAAAACTTATTAGACACGAGTGTATTTAGCGCATATGTGCCTGTTTATACATAACTGTCTGCGGCGGCATGGCCCGCTGGGACACAGACCTATAAGTTAAACACATATATAAAAATTGGATGCCCGCTGAATATTTCCACCTATGTCAATGAGTCAACATGGGAATATGCATTGACTACAACAGCTTACAGTTTTAAGAACATTCTTTATTTGTTGGTTATGAAAGGGAGCCCACTTGTACTCATAGTATTTACGCATATCAATGCGAGTTAATTAAAAAAATGTAATACAAACAAATTTATCAGTAAACATTAATTGTATGACTTCTATAGTCTTTGTATTAAAAACTGTGAAACAATAATTAAATAAAGCATATTGTGTGATTATTATTATGGAAAAATGTAACTCCAAAATGTGTTATGACACGCACTATTTTATATTTTATTCAACAAGGCTAATACATTTTAGGAACATACCTTTTTGAGTTAATTGGTAAACAAATCCATTTCAGTTGTATTGATTCAAATATCAAGAAAACGCACTTAGTCTCTTTTGAGAACTTTTTTAACATTTTTTTTTTATAGTGCATTTGTGAATATTTTACTGGCTAAAAAGCTTTGCCTTGCCCGAAATTTGAATGAAATTCTTCAAGAAGTCTTGGGATATTCATAAATAATGTCATTTAAATTAAAGTTTCACCCTTTTCTAAATTTTCATATTTTGCTTAAATTTAATTATTCGTAACTAACGACACTTGTTGTGTATCTATGATAGCTTTTCCAGCTAGCTATAGGGTATTGCTTGAACGAGCCTGCTTGGACGAATGGAATGAACTGCGGGAGCAAAATAATATTTTGCTGATACTGGGGAAACGGCCCAAAACAATGTTGGCAGACCAAAAACTGTGTGACGCTGCCGCATAATTCCTTTGTAATTAGATAACGCAACAAAGCAGCAACATGGCAACCACAGCATTTCCGCTTCCGGGGCGTCCCAATCGTCTCGGTCGAACCGCTTGACCAGACTCCGGCAAGCAGTCCCTGGACTCGCAGCAGCTGATGTGCAGTGTACTTTCCGTGCAATTTCGTACATTTTCGTTTTACGTAAAATGTTGAGAGCATTTTCTGATTATTTTGCAAAATCGTAACATATACCGTTGCCATTGTCATTGGCAACATAATTAGCCACCGCCACGCCCACAATACTCAGCTGTCGCAGGCAAGCGAAGTGCTTTTTCGTTGTGCAATTTCCCAGCTCGTGCACTCGACTGCTTTTTCAATCGTTGCATTTTGCTGTGACAATGTCCGTTAAAGCTGATTGTGACCAATACGCTGTAAGAGATCTGATTGAAAGGGTTTACATTGGTTTAGGGCAGCTAGCTCTTGGCTTAAAGCCTAGAAGCTCCTGTGAAATAACATTTAACACTACTAAACAACCGGAACAACTCTTAGCTTGGCCCTAGCTGGATTAATGTTGGGGTCAGAGCTAACAGAGAGGCACGTTTTCTGGCACGCAAATTTATCACGCTCAAGATGTTGTGCAAGGAGCTGCCCTCCAACTGAAGCTTTGCGTGCCACAAGCCTGGTGCAATAAGAACAAGTTGGGAGCTCCATCTGGCCACTAGCAAGCCATAATTAGCTGCTCATCGCAGACATCCTCGCACTAGGAGTGAGACAGAGAGTGAGGGCGAGGGACAGCGGCAAACAAATGGCCCACAAGCAGAAGATTTAGTGTGCTCTCATGCAACTAAACTTAATATTTCACGTGCATTTAACCTCCGGGTTTAAATGTCGTAATTTTCTCATTGGCATCCAGCAGCAGCAGCGGCAGCAGCCCCCGACCTGAGGCATTGCACGAATGTTTTACTGTCTCAAAGTTTGTCTCAATTACGTGCGTGCCAGACTGAGACAGCTCGCTCCACTGGCCCCGACTAAATATTAAGACTGCGACTAAAGTGGAGCATTTCTCAGGGCGTACCAAAGTTCAGTTTCAGTTCGCCGCAGTTCGTCCTCTGTCCCCGCTCCCTCGTATCTTTGCGTTTGTCATTGGCAACTTTTTAATTAAAAGTTTCATCCGAGTAATGGGATATTTGCACTACGAAATGCGATGTCGACCACGACGATACCATGATACTTACTGGCGCTATATTTGTGGGTGTCGCCATCGAAATCTTCGACTGGGCCACTTTGCTCTCTTATTGGTTGCAAGTGTCTAATTGCCAAAAGGATTTGCCTTACATAATGTTGCGCTGACCCCATTCCTTTTTTTTATTGGCCGCCAAAAAGTTTGCCCAGCCATTGCCTTACACTAAACTCTCCCCCGCACAAGTTAATGAGCGGCTAGCGTCACGTGCGCAATTAAGGAGAAGGCCTTTTAATTAAGAGGCTGCCTCTCGATTCGGTGCGATGATCTAGGTGGTAAATCTAATTCGTGCCTCACCATGGGTCCTACAAGAATCAAGCGATTCATTTCGATCGTGAACGTCGTGATTTTTAAGATTTATTTAAGACTGAGCTGGCAAACACCACATGAACCTAAAGAAACCCCCGATTGGAATTTCACATATTTTGTAAAGAACTTTCTCACATTTTTAAAAAATTATGCTTGGATTTTATTTGGAGACTAATAAATCATGGAACTTCTGGCTTAATTCACTATAGTTAGTATCCTTAACGTGGACTAGCTTTTTAGCATGGACCGCTGCCAAACGCCCTACTGTGGGAACACCCAACAATATTGTGCAGTCCTTTTGCTCCTTAGATCCGTTTTCTTTTTACAAGACAATCGTCAGAGTTATGTTCCATATACCAAAAATTTCATTGCAGACTGATAGACAATTGGATAAAATATAATCCCTTGGTTAACGTAGCCTGCAGCCGCATTTAACAAGAGACTGTTGACAGCTACTGTTAAACAGTAAAGACTTTACAGTCAACAAATAGAAAACGGCATTTTGACGATTGACAGGTTTATAAAAATCGAATTGTTACCACTGTTCATATACCAAAGGCGTTGCCTAATCGCTGGCGGATGTCCGGTCAGAAATTTGCTTTTATTGTTTTCACTTGTGCCAGGCGCTTGCGCCCATTTTGGGATTTCGGACTTTTTGTCAGTGATTTTTTTTTTCATATAATTTTTTTGTCGTGCTGCATTCTTGTCGAGTTTGTTGTCAGCATTCCCTTTCGACTTCCTCATCCACTTGAACTAACATCCTTCCGCTGACTTGTCATCGTCAGGACCAACAATTTCTGCCTCTGGTCTATCGCCAGCAGTGCATCCAAATGACAAGGCCGCCTGTCCGTTTGTCAATCAATTGTGAATTGTTTATTGAATGTTGTCGTTAGGCTGCACACAGCACACAGCCACCAAGAATTGTATTTGTTGTTATTGCTGCCGCTGCCGCCGCTGCCACTGGGACGACTAACTGGTTTTGTTCCAACATTCGATAGAAGCTGGCCAGAACTAGGACCAATTGGTCCTGTTGCCAGTTTTGTTTACACTGGCACTGGCAACGCTTTTCTTTTTTTGTGAGGCGTTTTAATGGAAAACTGTGCATTGATCGATTTGTTGACGTTTCCAACTTTTTGTCTGTTTTTTACCCTTTCGCGGGGTACTCTAACTATGCCATTACAACTGATAGTCAGCAAAGATGTGGCCACCTCGCATTCTACCATTTTTTGTTGATAAGCATCAGGTAAATATGAATTCGGATTTGAAAGCGAGTTAACCAAATAAAGTTATATTTAAATGGAACTTTTATTTATTAGATTTATGTGCAGCTTGTTGTAAGCGTATTTTATGTGCGGCATGTCGCTACGAGCTTTAATTCATCCTATTGAATGGCCTGTCACATTACTAATACGCACTGTGGTCGCTTTAAATAGATGCTCCCAGTGCTCTCATAATCTTGCCCAAATGGCTTTTGTTGGAATGAAATAGTGTTGACTTTCTCCGCGCACACACGCACACACGCACACACACACACACACGCACACATGCACAAAGTCGAGCGTCCTTAACAAATGCACGAAATGGCTTTTAAACGAGCCCGACGCCGTGCAGTCTGGCTGGCAACGTCGCGGCCCTGCATCACCGTTTCGTTCAGCTGGCGCTGCCGTTGGCATGTGATGATTTGTTCGCACATAATGAAACTCATCAGCAACTACAACAGCCAGGCAGGCGTTCAGGATGGGGTCAGAAGGTCGAGGGTCGAATGTGGGGATGGCAATGGGTTTCGCGTCGTGGCGTGAATTGGCTTGGCATAAATTCAAAAAGAGAAGAGCGAATAAAAATAAGTTGGTTGAAAATGCACGTCTGGGAAATGCTCTATAAAAGTAATCTTCATTTAAGCTATATATTTGTGCAGATTTATGAGTTTCCACTATTCTTATACACTCTCCCTTCCTATCACCAGGAAGATAAACTGACTATATATTAGAATTAAGATTGTCTGATAGTTTGACAAAATACAGAATTATAACTAAATCATATCGCAGATTTAACTTCCTTGGCGATAAGACAACATTTATTTCTCAACAGTATGATCAGTAATGCTGTATTTGGTTATTTTTTGGAAATTTTGTACTTTGTGCCTGGCACCATTCATTCGACTGGTCGGAGGATCGATTGATCAGGCGGATACTAAATAGTTCGGCTAACTACTAAGCGAGATAGCGAAATAATATTTTCCATTGTGATAAAGTTGGTTTCTGTATGTGAAGCACATTTGGTCAGCTGACTTGATTACAGGGTGTTACGAATATGTAACCAGTGCGACAGTTTTGCAGAAAGAAAATGTAGTAAAAGCATTTTCCAGTTTCATTATTCATGGCTCACTGCCGGCCGCTGTCCAACGTGCGCCTTTTCTGCGATTTACTTAATTTGAAGTGAGCCTCGACCATCAAGAAACTGCTTTTAAAATCAATTTGGCGTATATTTTTCTTGGGACTTGTGGTTTTTTTTTTTTTTGCCGGCTTGCCTTTTGCTGCCTGCACAGCTTTTCTTTTAAGGTCTGACTTTGTCCACGGCACTATTTATGCACATAATTTGCAGTCAACATGGAACCACTTTCATTTTGAAATTTAATCTGAAGCGGACAAATGGAGCAATGACTGGCCTTTGTCGCCGCCAGCTGATGAATGAAAAGCTGCCCAACTACTTATGTAACATAATCTATTTCAATGTAAAAGTATATAAAAATAAATACATATAGAAAGTCCTTATTGACGCAACCAACCGAATGAAAAGAATTTAATTTACCTTCAACCCATCAGCAGTCAGTCAGCGGTTAAGTTAAATTCAAGCCAGATGCAAACCATTTCAGCAAATTCATTAGCAGAAAACTTGCTGCTCCCCACGCTATTCACTCTTGCCAGTTACCAGTAACACCACAAAGACCGCAACAGTTGCGCCTGCCACTAAAAATGAGGGCAATGCATTTATCCCGAGGGTGCCTCGCAGTTGAGGAATGGATTCAGCAAAGCAGCGGGTTGCCATGTGCTTGTTTTTGATATGACGCTGATATTTAAAAGTGAAGTTTGAATTCTGTATATATATACACATATAATATACATATAGAATATATATATATAATATATTTATATATACTAATTATATACATTTATATAGCAAGCCGGGCCGTTATCATACATAATCATACATAAGCAGATGATACCCTGTAGCCATCTTTTGAATGCCCATAGCAAGGGAAAGCCTTGAATACATTTATTAGGTGAAGCCCAGAAGAAAATTAAATATATTTTTATATTGTTGACAGAACTGGTTGAAAATTGGGCTATTTTGTTTTGCCCTTTAATCACATACTAATGCCCAACTCTTTGATTTTATCAATATTAGTTCTCGAAGCACTTGCCATAGTGAGTTTATTAAGAGACGAGGTAAATAGGTCGACGCAATTTTATTGTGGGTTACGATGTATTTTTTAAAGTTACTTTTCGTGTGGGGTTATTATATAGAAAATGTGCAATTTTCTAAAGGAAAAACTAAATGATAGTAAGATGCCCGTATACAGAGAGCTCCAGGGTATTTATAGTCTTGTTTTATTTGTTAATAAATACATTTTTTGCAAGAACCATTTTTAAAGGTATCGGTCAGCGTGGACGCAAAAATTTGATATTTTAATTTACGGTAAAAGTTAATATTCATTAATGAAAGAATTTAATATTACAATTGCTCGAAAAGGTGGGCAAAAAAATTAAATAAAAATATTGTTATATTTTGATCTGATTAATTCAATACAATGCGAATATTTGGTGCATTCTTTAAGAATGCGATTCTTAGAGTTTCAGGATATGACTCAAACTGAAAACCCTATGCAGTTTCACTATGCCTGCTTGCATAAATCAGATTTAAGTAGCTCTTATATTAGTATAGAGAAAAGCCATGGATTTTGGAAGCATTCGCAAAATTGTATACTATGTGGGAGCACTGTAGGGCATCCTTTAGCTGTGTACTTGCGGTAATTGCGTAGCATTTTAAGCATACTGGCAGCACTCACTGCTGCTGCAACTGCTGCTGTTGCTGCTGCTGCTGCTGTTACTTGACACATGTCAGTCAGTCACTCATTCCGTGCGCTTAGCTTTTGAGCGTAGCCAAGCGGAAGGCTCAGCAGTGCCAGCAAGACGGGGCTGGAAGCTAGCTGGTGTGGATTTGACTTTGTGTACGCGAAACATAAAATGCACTTGACTTGCTTTGCCCAAGAGTTCTTCTTGTTGTTGTTGTTGTAGGCTGTTGGTGCTGACAACAGCAATAATGCAGCACTTAATGTGCCAAATGTATGTGAGTGTGTTTGTGTGAGTCGGCATTATAGAGTGGTCATTGCTGGCGTTTGAAGCATTACAAGCACATTTCTTGTGGCATTTCAGTTTAAATGCCAAATATTACGCATACGCCCGTATGACAGCGCCAACAGCAAAAGCAATTTTCATTGCCAGCTCATAATTTGCATACATAGCCGTAGCGCTGCGGCACCGCAGATTTATGGACTTGAACATATTGCTAGCCGCCTGCCACCTTGTCAATCGCGGCGATGGTCTAATTTTGGTGTGGATTTTGATGTTACTGTTGATGTTGATGTTGAGTTATGAGCGCTTGGCTAACAAAAACCTGCTGGCAAGCGGAAATTACATTTCGCTTAGTTCGCAAGTGCAGGCGAGCAATTAAAGCGAGGCGATTGAACGGGCGGCCGTTGGGCGTTGGGCGGTGCACCCGACAGCCTGGCATCAAACTTTGCCCATTGCATTAGAAAGTGGAGCTTCGCTGGGTGGCGCATTAAAACAATACACACACTTTAAAATCATTTTTTTAATTTGAGTTTGAAGTTTGATCGATACGCGGCGCGGCCTGGGTCTGCGCTGCGGTGCGCATAAGCGCCCAGCTGCACCGACAGGCCTGGCATTAGAGGTCATACGAATGCCTGCGGGTCAGAATCATTTCAACGGCAAACGCCGCGTCGAGCTGTTGATTTGTGCCATCAATTGATTCGTTTGCTTTGTGGTCACAGTTTTGCTACTGTTTTCTGTTAGCCGTCCATTTATGGCCATGTCCGCATCCAATGCTGCGGCTCTGGCCAGCAGCGATGAAGAGCTCACGCCTGCTGGCAGCCATCCGAGCGCTCAGCCGGACTACAGTGACGCGCGTTTGGAGCGCGTGGCCGCCTACACCACGACCACAATGCGCCTGAAACCGGAGAAGTGGGCCAAAATGATGGCGCACGATGAGTTCCGGGTATGTTTTCTTTACTTTTGCACATTGCCGACTAACAAAACTGGCTGTCAATGCAGCATATCGTCCTGGACTGGCTGCACGGACGGACACGAGTTTTGGTGATGACGCTCAGTCCAGGCGGCGAGCTGGTGCCTAGGGGATGTGTGAGCGACTTATACCGAAACTATACCCTGCAGAGCTGTGGCTCACGAGTGAGCGCAGCAAATGATGCCACCGCCACGGCTGCAGTGGTGGCGGCAGCAACAACCACAGGAGCACTGCTAGTTCCACTGCCGCCCGCTTCGTCCAGCTTCACGACATTGGATGGAGTACCGCGCGGCAAGTGCGCCTACTTCATACGCCACAATGTGGACGTGCCGCTGACAGCTAGCAATTTTCATAGCTCTGTGCTCTATGGTGACTTTCCAGTGCACAGCAAAATGGAGACCATGTCTCTGCTCTTCGACGAGGTGCTGCAACCGCTGCTGGACAAGGCTCAGGGCGTGTGGCCGTCGCCCGTGCGCAAGGATCTGCAGGCGCGCGTCAAGGAAGTGCGCAACACGCTGACCGAGGTGGGTCCAAGTCTGTTATCTCGGCATATTAATCTAATTGAGTGCAGCGAGGCGAGCAGGGACGCCGCCAGGCGAGAGAGCTTACCATTGTTCCAATGTATTTGGCTTAATTGGGCAAAGTTTTCATGTGTCTATAAGCGCTATTTATACTTTATTGTTATCCCCCACAGATTAAGGGCAAAACCAACAATCGCACAATTTTATCGTTATTAGTTTCGCCAACAATCGTCGAGGAAGTGTCTGCTCACGTGAACCGGGGGTAAGTAGAAGCCGGGCCCCAACTTTAGTCACACTCAATGGCCATTGTCTCAAGGGCTATGTATTGCGTCCTTTACCATCTGCAGCTGCTGCGTCATCGCTGCTGGCTACAAGTCTTTGTTTATATTGAAAGAGGGAGGGGCAGGAGGGCAGGAGGGCGGCAATCGTATAAATCGAACTTGTGAGCAAACAACTTTATCGCATGATTTTGCGTAAATTTGTTATGTATTTTCAATAACTTGTTAAATGCCCAAAGTTTAATTTCAATTTTCAATTTGGCCAACAACTCGAAGAGTTACAGAATCTTGATTGCTTTTTGCCAAATTTTTAAACTGAAAACCAATACGACTAATTGCAAATGAATGTATCGAGTCGACGAACTGTCTTAAAGCCAATATAAAAGAATTCCCAACTAGAAACCCATTTTAATTAATCAGCTTCAAATTGCATACAAGCTATCAAAGTAAACCACAAAATGTTAAAGTCTAAAAATTATAATCAGCCATACACGATTAGCAGATACCCTGTGAACAGGTATGAAGCGCCTAAGCTGGCGACTGGCTTAAAATTACCAACAAAATGTTCTCTTAAAAAATGCGTGGCTTTTGAGCTAATAGGAGAGATAATCCATTAAGTTAAATGAACTGAATGCTGCACATGATATACAAGAACCTAATATCGATTTTTAAACACGGGCATTTAAGCTTACCTTTAAATACAAAAGAGCTGAATACACTAAACTTGGTATTTGGGCTCTCTTATATAAAGCTTCTGCATTAATATATTTATTATTTATAAATTATATATCTGCAGCTGGGTGCTATATTAAAGCTGAGAAAATATCATTAGGATCGGACTACAAGCACCGAAGATATTTCAGTTAGCATAATGTGGGACTAAGAGAAGAAGAAGCACAACTACAGCTTGTAGAGGGGAGGCTCCTGAGTGTTTATTTTGTGTCTTTTTGTGTACCTTTGCTTGCATGTTTGTAACGGGGTATCTCCAAGTCAGGCGCTCTTACTTGCTTTCCACTTCTTCAATGGGTATAAATAATGCGAAAGCTGCAGATGTTATCATGGAAATCAGCCATTAAATCAAAAAAATGTAGGTCAATTTTATATGCAGCATTGTAGACAGAAGCGCAAAAACAAATCCAACAAAATTAAATGGAGAAAATGTGTAAATGAGCGGGATAGAGAGGGCAACTACGCAGAATTTCCAAGCGCAACTATTTAAGAATTAGGTCAACAATTGTTTTCCCCACCCATTAAAAAAGTTGCGTTCAATTGCTACCCAAAGTTGAGTCGGAATTGAAAGGATTTAAAAAAGGCAATTTTAATTATCGTTGCATGCCAATAGCAATCTAAGACCAGCCTTGGATCCCAAGTTTCGTACTCTACTGGAAGAGATGTTTATCAATTGGACAACACAAATGCACGACATTGTAATGGAACGCTCGGAGTCCATTGGCCTGACCGCGTGCACCACTGCACCCACCAAGCATATCCATGTGGTTACGCTGCCCGCTCAGGAAATTACCTTCTGGACAAATCGAAAACTCAATTTGCAGAACATTTACGAGCAGCTGCGCGAATCCATGCACAAGGCCCTGGCGCACATACTTGAGCGCATTCAGTCTGTCTATTATGAGCCCTATGCAAAGGCTTTCCGGCAGCTTCTGACCGCCTGGCTGGAGGCACAGGATGTCTCACTCTGGCTGCAGCCACTGCAGCGTCAAACCGCCGCCTTCAACTCGGTGCAGTTCAGCAATGCACAGGAGCTGATTGCACCGCTGGTGCATGTGCTGCACTTGCTCTGGAGCAATGCCCGCTTTTACCGCAGCACACAAAGGATGAGTGTGCTGCTACGTTGCATGTGCAACATGTTGGTTCACCGCGCCGCCGAGGACTTGGAGTTTCCGCTGCTCTTTCAGGGCGACGCCGATGAGGGCCTGCAGAAGATCAAGAAAACTGGCGAGGTGTTGGAGTTTTTCAGGTAAGCAAAATAGGAATTTTGTAGATACTCAAGTTTAGCAACACTCTTGGCCATTTATGGCTGCCTAGGCAGCGCATGCTCGATTACAAGGAACGCTATGCAAGCAGCCAAGTGCTGCTGCCAGCCTTGCCGAGCTCTTCTGCTGCAGCTGCAGCCGCAGCAGAAACTTCCCCAACGCCCGACGACCAGCAGCAGCTGTGGCGCTTCTCCAACGAGCAAGTGTTTGGCCAAACACTCGACGGATTTCTGTTGCAGCTATCGGAGCTCCGTCATGTGTTCGAGGCGGCTGTTCAATTTCAGCAACTGGAGAAGCTTGAAATAGGCGGTCTGCGTGGTAAATTGCTCACGGACCGCATCAGAGAGGTAAATCTAAAGGTTAAATTTCCACCTTCCAGGATAGTGCAAATTTCCTTTTCACTGTCTTACACAGATCTTTAACGAGTTCAAGGTGCTGTTCGAGCAGTGGACCAATGTAGACATAGATCTCGCAGCGCCCGCTGCCCACAAATGGAAATGTTTCAAGCGCGAGCAATGCCTTTTCTATAAGCGCATGCAGCAGCTGGAACAGAAGCTGGCCACTGTACTGCTACAGGCCTTCGAGCAGTGCCACAGCTGGATCCACCTGCTCAAGCTGACGATTATGTTTGGCTGCCTATTGAAGCGCCGCACGGTGCAATTGGAGCTCGTGCGTCTGCTTCCACACATGCTCAACGTTTACAATGCAGAGCTGCAGCAGCTGGAACAGAGCGTGGCAGTCGTGCTGCTGGACTATCAATTCCATGGACTCGAAGCTCTGCCCGTAGCTGGAAACTTTCCCCCAATTGCTGGCGCCATCATGTGGCTTGAGCAACACTTGCATCGCTGCGATGAACTGGGCGCTAGGGATCTAACTGAGCTCGTCCAGACATTGTAGGTCCAATCAACAGCATTTTAATATCGACTCTTTTCGGCACGCCGAAGGTTAAATACTCTTGTGGACATGTGACTTAGAAATACTTTTCTAGTATCGCTTTATTTTTATACATTAAAATTGATTTGGGAAAAGGGATTTATAATTTCGACCTATCGCATAAACTTCTTCTTATTATTGCAATTTCAATACATTTTTTTACACATAAATAGTCTGGGAAATATTAGACACTTTTATTTTCTTCATTTGTTATGAAATTAATTCATATGGAAGCAATAAGCTTAACCGAAAACTACTTTTACATTCTGCTAACAATATTGATTTAATTTTGAAGAAAAATCCACGCATTCATAAGTCAGTTTATAATATTTTCGTGAAATATCTCAAAACTCACTTAAAATAAGTAATTTATTCAAAATCCAAAATCTGCTATACTTTATAGGTTAGCACTAAAATCGGAGCTTATAACGCTGCCTTTTCAATGGGATGCATTGCTTTCACGTCGCAACATTCTGACCACAAAATTGTGCAATCTTCAGCTGAAGATCTGGCACGCCTGGCAGCAGGACATAGACAAGCTCATAGCAGAGGGTCTCGACGAGCCCGTGCTGATTCAATTGGCAGCCGGGCAGCAGCTGCAGCTGAATTTTGCTCAGGCGCTCTTTACGCTGCTCAAGGAAACTAAATATCTGCTAGCTCTGCAGGGTTCTGGCAGCCTTTCAAGCAAACTCTTTCCAATGCCCGAGGCGCTGCTGTCACTTTACGAGCAGCGGGATGCCTACTGGCGGCGACGCATACGGCTCATCAAGATTGACGAGTTCTACAATGGCATCCGAACTGGCCAGTGCGCTGCAGCTGAGCTGCAACTAATTGCCACTGAGCTGGCGGCCATCGATGCTCAAGTGGCAACTGCCTGTGGTCAACTAACCTGGCGCAATTACGGTAAGTGAGGTAAAGTTAAAGTAGGCAACATTTTTGAGCTGCTCCAACAGATGAAACGCTCATCGAGTGCATATTCGAGAAGTCACGCGATCTGCATGCACGTCTGCAGCTATCGCATGGCAATCTGGACGCCATATTAACCAGCATGCGTCGCTGGAGCCGCGACCCACTGCATCAGCGCAGTCTCTATGGTCGCAATCTGCTCGATCTGCGGCATCAGCAGGAGCGGGTACGTCTGCGTCTGCTGCAGTGCGATGAGACGAAAATGCTGCTAAATCGCTTGCTGATTGCCAACTTTTGTTTGTTCTTCAACTACGAGTCGCAGCAGTTTCAATTGTATTCACGTGACCTGAGCGTGCAGGAGGTGAGCAGTCCCTGTTGATCCAAATAGGTTGTTATTAGTGTCCCTATTGTTTATTTTGTCATCGAAAGTTTGTGCGCGAATTTCCGGATGAGCAACGCCGACAGTTTAACAAATATTTGGCCACAGTTGATGAGTTGATTTGCCGTGAAATGCGTCAGGCCATGAGGATCAGGTTTGGCTTTCAATTTATTAAATAGAAAAATATTCGGCATAGCACAAAACAATTTCATTTTGCACTGTAAGTGCCTAAGCCTAAGCATATATACATTTTTTTATATGCTTTTGTTATTTAAACGTATTAAAAATATTAACCATATATTAAATTAATTTAATAAAGTACTGCAAAGAGTAAAAATCGGTGAAAATATTGTTCAATGTGTCTCAAGCATTCATGCAGCGTACAACTATGTCGTACTGCAGCCATAGGAATAATCGGTTGAAAATTACATTTTGTATCAACAGCTTGTTCAGTCGGGCACTTTAAATTTCTTATATTTTTATTCATACCCATTTTAGTAAGTTTTCAGGTAGCACCTGTTTTTAATACCAAAGTAATAAAAACGACTCACTCAGCCATGCCACAACCAGTCATACAATTATACAAGCCACCCACATCAGCGAGCAACAAATAAATTCATTACACTTTGGCAGGCTGCCAGCGCCTTTCATGTCTCATCAAAACTAATCAAGTAAATGAACACAAATTTATAGCTCACCCGCATTCGCGCACGGTAACCGCAAGGCGACAGACACCTACACCTACATCTACACCAACACCGACCGCAGTAAGCACACACAAACACACACACACAACAGCGACAACAGCCAACAACAACTTACAACTGCAACAACAACAACAACAGCAAGTTGCTGATGGCAGAGCATTCATGCGTCAATTGCATGTTTCACTTAACGGCACTTCGTGATTGCATGCAGAGTCCTCAGAAGCAGAGGCAGAAGCAGCAGCAGCAGCAGCAGCAGTGGCAGCAGCAGTGCAACGCAAACGAAATAAGCACAAAACAAACTCAGCACTAAATTTAATTTTCGCATTACTCATACGCCGTGTAATTCAGTTTAGAGTATTTGCACAAGGAAATGACAGCAACTGGAACAACGACTGCAACAACCGCTGAGGCAACTCCAACAGCGCCCCCAACTTCAAATATGGCCTTGCCAAGCATGGCTAGGTTGGTGTTACAACAAATCACAACGCCACAAGCGACAGCGACAATAACACCAACAACAGCAACAACAACAACAACAACAACCGGGGCAACAGCAACAAACGATGCACCGCTTTTCGAAGTGAAATTGGAGCTGACGGAAACGGAAATACGTTTTTCGCCTGCCTTTGATGCAAGTGTGGAAAATAATTTTCAACAAATTGTCGAGCAGCTGTTGCTGGATATAAAACAGACATGCGACTGCATGCCAAGAATTGTGTCTGACAATGCGCTGTCTGACGACGACGGCGACGACGAGCACGATGGTAAGTTCAAGCAGTTACTGCAAAAGGAGCAGCAGCCCTTCCCACACAATATTCTGGCCGTGGCAAGCACGGTATGCACCAGTCGTCGCATTGGCGCTGCCATCGCTGAAGGTACTGCGGAGTACTTCTCCGTGGCAGGCGCGTCGCATTCTTTGCATTTGCTTATACCACCTAACACACTCTCAGTTGCAGCTGATGACTTGGAAATACTGTGCGCCAGCATACGCAACGCCTTGGCGCAGACGGTTCAGGCGGCGTTGAATTATGCTGCCAAATTCCACGCCTATGCGTTCCTTTGGACACAGCAGAGCGGCGCCGTTCTGGCGTCCTGCATGCAGACGGCGCGTGAGCAAACGACCCACATCAGTGACAGTGGCTATGCCATCATGGAGACTTTCAAAAAGGAGGTAAGAAAAAGAGAAAAAAAAAATTACAACAAACATCTGTGTGCCCCAAAGCACGAGGCAGCAGCTCGCCAAATGCCGCACCGATGCGCCCACGCACACAGACAGCCACACTGGCGCACACCCGTTGAACAGCCCTCGGGCCGGGATTGGCGGGGGGTCAGACAGATGGAGGTACTAGTGACCGAGTGGCTCGCCGGGTCACTCAATTGGCAACCACACAATTTACGTTGTGTAACCCCTGAGACCAATAACGCTTGATAAATGTCGACCATTTAGGGTCAAATGTGTGGCCGAATCGGCTGTCGGGCCATCTCGCCGGCTTTGCCCAAATCTGGATATAGCCAAAAATGCTTAACCACATGGCGCCTCTGACTTATGCCAACACACACAGAACAATTCAGTACAGTGACTACAGCAGGCAAATCGCTTGCGTATGCGTAATATTTTCTTTAAACAATTATCAAACGCCCCGAAAAGTATGCAATAAATTACATAAAGACTCCGCAGCACACACACCACACACGCACACAAATAAAATGCAAAGCAAACCAGCAACAACAAATCATGGTCGGAATGCATGAACATTCAACGTGAGGCTGTGAATTGACTGCCACAATAAAATGTGAGAGACTCACGGAAAGCTTACAACGAATCCTGTTTACCCTTCTACTCGAAATTAACAGGAAAGAAGAAACAAATGCATAACCTAACAACAATCACTACCTTTAAAATTCTCTTTTTAAATAACTCTTTTACTAAGTTGCTTGTGAAAAATAGTTGAAAATATAATTTTTAATGTATTTTTACAGTGTCAGACACCCAACATACATGTTACCTTTGTCGGTGACAACAACTGCCCCTTTTGCACCTGTCAAAATGCATGTTAGTTGTAATTTTTGTAAAAGTTTGCCAAATTCAAACAAATTTTATTCACTTGTCGTATACATTATTTAAACTTTCATGAGAATAGAATATTATTTTATAACTTATTCAATTCATTGGGTGTCAAGTACAATTCTCCTTTCATCTGAAAAGACAAAATGTTGATTGTTGCCTGCAAAATATTGACAGTCAGACCTGGAAAAATCAATTTTTGGCAGGTTAGCTTAAAAGCTTATAACTTAGTCCTTTATCCACAGACTTTATCAAACAATTCCTTTATTGACATCTATTTAATATATTTTAATGAATCACATTATTATCAAAAACACAATATTTTTTTCCTAATTTCCTGAGTCGTTTTAGTCGAAAATGTAAAAAAATTGTGCAAAAAAGAGGATTAGTAAATTTAATAAGTATGTGAACCCACCTTTAAATGGCTTCAAAAATTCCAAAACAATAAAAACTAATAACAAGACTGTCATTAAAATGGCCCAAGAATTATATTCGCCCTTTCGGAGGGCACTAACTTACACAACTAGAATAGGAAATGTAAGCTTCGATAGTTTTTGAAGTCGTAGTTCATATGAAGACAAGTACAGTCTGTCCGTTAAGTTAATGCGCAGAGTTACGTTATCAGTATATTACCCGGACAAGCAAAGGGCAACTAAAATCACTGACCGGCATTTTATTTATGAGCGGCCATTGAGAGTCGCCTCTGGCGCAGCTGGTGCGCTTAATAAATGCTTCGCTTGGACACAGTACGCATATACAAGTAAATGGCACATGAATTGGGCTTCCGACCACGCACACACATATGCGCTAAATTAGCTTAAATAAATTTGGGTTAGCCCAGGCAAATGAAGTTGTCAACGCCCCAAACATCTTGCCCAATCTCTTACGCAGATCGAGCGCTACAACGAGCTGCACGATGATATCGACCAGTGCGAGAATCGCCACTGCCTGAACGGCTGGCTGGCCCTGGACGTGAAGCCGCTTAAGCATGGTCTGCTCAATCTGACCTGTAAATGGTCGCACCTCTACAAGCAGTGGCTGCTGCGCTATGTGCAGAAGACGCTTCAGGTGAAGGCAGCCCCGAAAAGTATGCTATCAAAAAGCTAATATGTTTTAACAGGAGCTAAACGCATTCATCGCGCGCAGCCATGAGACTTTGCAGCTGCACATCGCACGCCAGGAGTTCAAGGCACTGCTGCGCGTGCTGTCTATCATGGCGGAGATACGGCAGAGGGAACCGTACGCGGACAATGTATTTAAGCCGCTCAAGGACATCATTGCGCTTTTAAAGACCTACAATGTGGAGTTCGAGGCACAGCTGGTGCGCAACATAGACCAGCTGCCGCTGCAGTGGCAGCAATTGAAGCAGCAAGCGCTGGCCAAACACGAGGCACTCCAGGACACGCGCTACTATCAACAGCAGCGCGTAACGGCGCTCATTGGTCTGCATACGTGCCACGTGCAACATTATGCGAAACAGTTCCAGCGCATGCCGGTGAGTGCGGCCCCTATTCAGCTTCCCGGTCTGTTTGCCCAGAATTAAGCCCAGCGTTACCTCTTCTACCGCCCAGTTCTTTCGTGTTCCCTGTCCACAAATTTACGATGCCTGCGACCAGGTCTACGTGCGGCTCCATCGCTTTGGCTGCCAGCAGCGGCGCTACGCGTGCTGGGCCCGGCTGCTGAACATTCCCGAACCCGATACGAGCACACTCCAGCAGTGCAAGGCTGAACTTAGACGTGTAAAGGTGAGCAGAATGTCGACCAAATTTGGGCCCGTCAGTCCGTGCTCGTGAGTTTGTGTGGATGTGTAGCAGATAAGACAGCTTTTGTATCGCCCGCAGCAATTGTGGGACTTTGTGCGCGTCATCGAATCCTGCATTGTTGACTGGCATGCAACACCTTGGCTCCAAATCGATACGGATGACATGGAACACGAGTGTAAGAAGTTCACGCGCGATTTGCGCACACTTGACAAGTGCATCAGAGACTGGGCCCCCTATGTTTACATTGTGGGCGTATTGCGTGAGCTGGTTGCCTCGCTGCGAGCAGTTACCGAGCTTCAAAATCCAGCAATTACCGAACGCCATTGGCTGGAGCTTATGCAGTTGTCAAAGGTAAGTAGGACAAGAAATCGCAGCTAGTACTGTTTGCAGTCAATAAAGGTAATGCCATCAACCGCACCTGCTCCCGCATCCGCATTCACACACGCACACTCCCAGCTATATCAGCATCATCATCATAGCTCATCGATGCAATTACAACTGATTGATCCACACGGCACCGCTTTACAATGTGTCTGCTCATTGTATCTTGGTGTGGTTTGGCGCATGGATTTGGCAATCGCATTACCGGGCGATGTTTGAGCACGCATTACAGGAGCTATAATCCACCAAGCATCCCACATATGGAAGTACGTAATTGCTTTCGACTCTCCCGCATAGTAAAAAATTTTGGTTTCGATTAAATACTTTAATATTATTCGGTTATTGGAGTAAAAATCAGTAAAGTTTCCAAATTGTTTGCATACAACTTATTTCAAATGTTTAATGGATTTTTTTGCATCAAAAAATAAAGTTTGGTCGTGCTAATTTGTTTAATTAATTTAATGATAGCACGTTTTTATAATAAATAACATATTTTTCATAAAAAAATTATGTGTACTTCCTTTTTTTGTTTTATTTTAATTCATGCTATAATCTAATTTGAAAACAACTGGTGACTTTATTTTATCTCCAATCGGTTATTAATTCAATTCCCACTTTTTCAATAATAATGAAAGAGAACCACTCAGATTTCGCCATAAAATATTTTTATTACAATTTTCGCTGAAGACAATTCCTTATCAGTTGCTAAAAATAAATATCAAAATGGCTTTTGATTTCAAACTTTTTTGCCTGTAGGTTTTAATAGCTTAAACGCGTTTTTAATAGAGTTAACTATACGAGAAATTTAATTTTATCTCTGTATATAAAACTGTTGAGACGGGATATCGAGAAATTCCACCCGCATGTGTGAAAAAATCCCAAAAAACGTTTGTATGAAACTTTTTTGCTTACCATCCGATCGGCCTTAAACTCATTTTCAAAGATCTTTGATGACATTCATTTAAGGGGCGAAAATGGAAGTCAAAGATTTGATGGGTGACGTTTCGTGCTCAAAAAGAACTATACAAGAAATCATTTAAGACGTGTTTCACACTTTTCGCAGAATCCAAGTTTATGTTTTAGTTTTTATTGATTTGCAGATCAAACTATATTATAATGATATTTACGAGTTTGATTAAATAAGAAAATATAAAATTTATTCAACCATTGTGAAAAATAAAAATCTAAACCTGTTTCGAATTTGCTGGTAATAGAAGGTACAGCATCTAGCCGAGCTAGCCACTGGTTATTTTATGAAATTAAACTATTTAATACTCTTGAATAACTAGAAATGGTTTAGAATTTATTTATTATTATATTTATCCATTTATTGCATTCATTATTTCCCTCATTTATAATTACACATAATCACCGAGCACTTTAACTACTCGAGTTATAATTGGATACAAATAAATAGAAAGAAATAAGTGAAATCGAAATCCTCGTCTATTACAGCTAATTGGACAGTATAAAGTGGAAGAACTAGTAAGTGAAATATAAATTTCTAGTAAATTAAGAAGTGTCAAAATAGTTTGCGAAGGGATGTGCATTATTTCATAACTTCAGCTTCTTGAAATTACAAATCCCGGATAATATGCGCTTATAAATGACGCATAAGCAACTGTATGGAATGGCTGCCAACGTTGCCATGGTTGTGACTGCAGGACGCTTTAAGGGTTGACTTGGCGAGACGAATGCATTAATATGATAACTTGAAAGGGGGAAGCTGAGGAAGCTTAGCCATTCGGCTCAGAAGAGAATTGCATTACTAATAATTACCTGCGTCAGGTACTGTACACGGGCTGTCGTGCTTGTAATTAAATTTGACATAATTGCTGAAAGTAAATACCTAAACTGAAATGCAATATAGACAACCAGACAATATTGAGTTACATGCTGTCTGACCGAATTGTCATACTAGAATTACAACCACATAAAATATATATTGGCGATTGTCGAAGCGTAGGACATTTCGTCGATGATCAATTTCAGGGAAACTAATTAAAAGTAGTCAAACGCTGATTAAAATTATTTTAATTATGACACTCAGATTTCGTACAAGTGCAACACATCGACAACTCTGGCACAGTTACTAAGCCTGCAACTGCAGCAGCACGAAGAGGACATCAAGAACACTGTGGATCGCGCTATCAAAGAGATGACGGTGACAAAAGTTTTGGACGATATAAAGGCCACCTGGACACAATTGGAATTCGAGTTGGAGCTGCATCAGACGCGTCCAACTGTGCGACTGCTCAAAGTATCGGAGGAGCTGATTGAAACGCTTGACGACAATCAAATGCAGCTACAAAATATCTCAACATCAAAACATATCGAATATCTGCTGGATAAGCTGAGCTATTGGCAGCGTGTGCTGAGTGGCATTGATACGCTTATTGTCAATTGGTTTGAGGTGCAGCGTAAATGGATTTATCTCGAGTGCATTTTCATCGGCTCAACAGACATACGTTCCCAGCTGCCACAAGACGCGGCAAACTTTGAGCGCATTGATGAGGACTTCACCAATTTGCTAGCACGGGTTACCAGTGTGCGCGTTGTCATGGAGGTGGTGCTGCAGCATGAGGATGTGCTCAAGCAGTTGCTGGAACTGCAGCAGCGCCTGTCCGTTTGCGAGAAGGCACTGAACGACTACCTGGAGACAAAGCGGTTGGCCTTTCCGCGCTTCTATTTCATCTCGTCCGCGGATCTCTTGGACATACTCTCTAATGGCAATAATCCCCAGGTCATTGATCGCCATCTCATTAAGCTGTTCGACTCCATATTGCGCTTGCAATACGAAACCAATACCGCGCATGCCCTGGGCATGCACTCCAAGGAGAACGATGAGTATGTGGCCTTTGTGGTCAGCCAGGATCGAGAACAAACAGCCTACATCGACTGCTGTGGTCGCGTTGAGCTTTGGCTGCGCGCCGTCATCCAACAGATGCGCAGCACGCTCCATGAGCTCTTTCGTCGCGCTCTCGTGGCTTTCGGTGAAAAGTCCCGTGATCTATGGCTCTATGATTGGCCAGCACAGGTCGCGCTCTGCTGCAGTCAGATTAGCTGGACGGCGGATGTGAATCGCTCATTCGCAAGCATGGAAGAGGGCTATGAGGGAGCCATGAAGGAGCTGCACAAGCGCCAGATAGCGCAGCTGAACGCTTTGATCAATCTGCTGTTGGGCGAACTGTCCTCAGGCGATCGACAGAAAATCATGACCATCTGCACCATTGACGTCCATTCGCGTGACGTGATTGGCAAAATCATTGCCACCAAGGTAGACAACTCTCTGGCCTTTCAGTGGCAGAGCCAACTGAGGCATCGCTGGGACGATGAACAGTCGGGCAGCTCCAGTGGCTGCGCCACGGCAACAATCAGCGCAGGCAGCGCCGATGAGGATTGCTTTGCCAATATCTGCGATGCCGAGTTCCGCTATGCCTATGAGTACTTGGGCAATACTTCAAGGCTGGTAATCACACCACTAACCGATCGATGCTACATCACCCTGACCCAGGTGAGTTAACAACAACTGTTTAAAAGTACTTAGAACGTAGACTGTTTAAATCGCTCCTAGAAGCTTATACAAAATATAATATGTCGGTCCAGCTTCCATTCGGAACTGATTATTTTATTATATGAAAACCACAAGAATGTTTGCTCGCAAATTTGACTCTAGCTTTCCAGTGCATTTCGCTCATATATAATCTTCGTTTGATTAGGAATCATCCGTGATTACAAAGTGTTCAAAATATAAAAAAAAAATTGTTGACAATGGAAATGAGATTAAGTACTTATTTTGAATTTGTAATCTAGGCATTCTTTAAATCAAAGGTTCTTGTAACAATAACAAAGCGTTTTCAGCTATACTTTTTGAGCATAATAATTATATAATTTTGAGTACAAAACTCATAAAATTTTTATATATTCAAGATAACTGACTATCTTAATTTTAAGGCCAACCACACTGTTAACCCTGCTGCAAGAGTCAAAATCCGTTGAGTTTTTCCGTCACCTATTTCCAGCAACCAAATATTTCGAATTATTTATGAATTCCAGGAAGATGTAACCAAAAATATAAAAGCCATGCTCACCACATGACAGTCAAGAATGCCCTTTTTGAAGCTATTAATACGCTGAGAGCAGACATTTTCGCGGTCGGGAGACAATTCCCAGAACCGTATAGAATAATCCCATTCCCATACAACTGCATTGCGTTAAGTAATACTTTCAAGCAATTTAATAAATTCGTCTGGAATTATCTCGAAAATATAAATTTCTTCAGTCAATCACTAGAATCAATGTTTGAATAAACAAGAAGTCATGCCCACGCAATTTTAATAAAATAACAATTATGTGAAACTCACAGACTTGAGTGTGCGAGAATATATGCAAATTTTAGTGAATTGGTTTAGTAAACGGAAATATAATACAATACATGTTATTTATTTATGCATGTAATTTAAGCACTTTTTTTGGTTTTATTAATTAAAAACTTCCCATAAAGCCTGTTGCAGCTTTGGTTAGAGTAACGACAGTTAAATACCCTTGACACACACACACACATGGCAAATATGTGTTATTATATCTTTGCTCTAAGGAACACAAAAGGTTCTTATGGGTGCTATAGACTAGATTTAAGTTCCATGCCCTAGTCATTTTCCGGCAGGCATTAAATACCATTTTCTAGAGTATAAAATCTGAGCGAATTGACCGAGCGAATGATGACACTCTTTTAATTATCTTGAATCAGCTTTAACTTCATATATGTTTGAATTTAAATACTTTCGCCAGCCGCACTCATAAATTTGTAGAACATGTTACTACAATATTAAGAGATATTTTCCGTTATTACATTTTTTGTATCTCACCAAAAAAATATGGCAAAAGGGTCTGACAGCAGAACCTTGACAGTTCAACCTTACACCCAAGGGCAATTTACATTATTATGGAATTTTTTTCATTTACTTTTAAAAGCTTTCAAGCAAATTAAACCAGCTTCAAGCTGATGTGATAGTTTAATAATAAGAAGTTACTTAGTGGTAGATTTTGGTATCTAATTAAGAATTTACTCAAATGCACAAATAATAGCATTTAACTGTTAAAAGTTGCTTGCAATCTAATTGACCTACTACCCATTTGTTCATACTAACACGTTTATATGAAGGCGACTTCTAATTAGTAAGTCCTTGAAATTAATTGGCCTTTATTAAAACAACTATTTATAGACTTCCAACGAAGCAAATGGTTTTTCTTTATCTGCTTGTCTGGCAGAAATATTTGTATAATAAAGTAGAAATAGAATCAGTTTTGCTAATGTCCTTTAATGTACGCTAACATAAAGACTATTTCTGAATGTCTATAAAGTAGAAACAGTCTAATTATACCTGTACAGGTGCTTCATATACAACGACAGAATCGATTGTATTACTTGAAATTATAGAAAAAATTTTCGTAGATATGTGAGTTAAATAAGCAAGCACACGTACATAGGTATATCATGTTGAAGGAAAGTAAGTAGAATTCCAATTAGTAATTGTTGCTTGGCCCGAGAATAATTTGTTTCCATTTTGTGTTGATTTTATGCCAATTTGGCCTGTATTTAAATTAAACAACTCGTTAGTGGAAAATAAATGCCGTTTACAATTTGCATACCTTTGCATAAACATGCACACGCACACGCACACATATACACTCCGTCAGTCGCTGCATCTGGTGATGGGAGGCGCGCCTGCTGGACCGGCGGGCACCGGCAAAACGGAAACAACGAAGGACTTGGGACGCGCGTTGGGTGTAATGGTTTATGTCTTCAACTGTTCGGAGCAAATGGACTACAAATCTTGCGGCAACATTTACAAAGGTCTGGCCCAGACCGGTGCATGGGGCTGCTTTGACGAGTTCAATCGCATCTGCGTGGAGGTGCTCTCCGTGGTGGCCGTTCAGGTGAAGACCATACAGGAGGCGATAAAGGTGCGACCGCAATGTCGGCGAGACGTGAAGCGTTCGCAAATTGATTTTACCTTCCACTTCTTTGCAATGCTGCACATTGATTACATTTCTCTTCTCGGTGCCGTGGTTGCTGCCTCTGGACGACGATGGGTGTACCTACTACCCATGGTTCGGATTGTTGCTGTTGGTTTGTCGTGCTGCTGCTGTTGCTGCTTCTGGTTGGTGCTGCTGCTGTTTACAGATGCATAAAACCCAATTTATCTTTATGGGCGAGCGCATCTCGCTGGAGCCGTCGGTTGGCATTTTTATCACCATGAATCCGGGCTACGCCGGTCGAACCGAACTGCCGGAAAACCTGAAAACATTGTTTCGCCCATGCGCCATGATTGTGCCGGACTTTGCTTTGATTTGTGAGATTATGTTAATGGCCGAGGGCTTCCAGGATGCACGTCTGCTGGCACGCAAATTTATCACACTGTACACGCTGTGCAAGGAGCTGCTGTCCAAGCAGGATCACTACGACTGGGGCCTGCGTGCCATCAAATCGGTGCTGGTTGTTGCCGGCACATTAAAACGCGATGACCACAGCCGTCCAGAGGATCAGGTGTTAATGCGTGCTCTGCGTGATTTCAACATACCCAAGATAGTAACCGAGGATGTGCCCATATTTATGGGCCTGATAGGAGACCTCTTTCCCGCCCTCGATGTGCCGCGCAAGCGTGTCTTCGAGTTTGAGAAGACCATCAGACGTGCGGTTAACGAAATTAAGCTGCAGCCCGAGGAGGGCTTTCTCATGAAGGTGGTGCAGCTGCAGGAGCTGCTGGATGTCCGCCACTCGGTTTTCATTGTGGGCGATGCAGGAACGGGCAAAACGAAGATTTGGCAAACTCTGCGCGAAACGTATCGCATACAGAAGCTGAAACCAGTCTGTCATGTTCTGAATCCCAAAGCGCTGTCCAACGATGAGTTGTTCGGCATTGTAAATCCAACGACGCGAGAGTGGAAGGACGGCCTCTTTTCGTCCATAATGCGAGAGCAAGCCAATATGCCGCCGGGCAATCCCAAGTGGATTGTTCTCGATGGAGACATCGATCCCATGTGGATTGAGAGTCTCAACACTCTGATGGACGATAATAAGATCTTAACGCTGGCCAGCAACGAGCGCATTTCTTTAAAGCGTGAGATGCGTCTGCTCTTCGAGGTGGGCCATCTTAGGGCGGCCACACCCGCCACGGTATCCAGGGCGGGCATCTTGTACATAAACCCACAGGATCTGGGCTGGTCGCCGTAAGTCTTATGCGAGCCAATTTTCTGCTACTTTCTATTAATATTTCACGCTTGGATATTAGCTTCGTCTCCTCCTGGTTGGAAACGCGTGTCAACATGATCGAGCGGGGCATACTCACCACGCTCTTTGAGAAGTATTTTCCCAGTCTGATGCAACGACAGCACAATTTCCGTCGCATCACGCCCATCGCCAACATGGCCATGATACAAATGACGTGTCACCTGCTCGAATGTCTGTTGGACAGCGACCAAGTCGAGGATGAGACGGCACGCAGCACCGGTAAGCATCTCGGCATCAATTCGCACAGCCTACACCATGGCGAACTCTCACATGAGTCCGCTGAGCTGGCCTTAGAGACGATCTTTGTGTATGTTACCATGTGGAGCTTCGGTTCGGCCCTGTATCAGGACTCAATTATAGACTGGCATCGCGAGTTTCACAAGTGGTGGACGAGCGAGTTCAAGGACGTGAAACTGCCCAGTCAGGGCACCGTATTTGACTATCAGCTTAATGTGCAAACATTGAAATTCCAACGCTGGTCTGAGCTGGCCGCTCAGGAGCAACTCGACTGTCAAATCGATGCAGAGCAGCCGCTGCAGGTGCGTGCTTGACCTAGTTGGAAGTGAACTAATCATCCGAACAAAGCCTTTGGTTACACACAGAACGTGCTCATTTCAACTGCAGAGACCACACGTCTCGGCTACTTCCTCAAGCTGCTTATCGACCGCAATCTCGCCTGCATGCTGGTCGGCAGCTCTGGCTGCGGCAAGGGTGCCATCTTCCGTGAGCTCTTCAGCAAATATGCCAGCGCACAGGAGCTGCTTGAAATTGCAGTGACAGCTGTCAGCGGCAGCCAGCAACAGACGGTAGTAAATGGTGGTGCCGCTGGTGGCGGCGGTGGTGGTGCCGGTGGTGGTGTCGGTGGCGGTGGTGGTGGAGTTGGCAACGTCAGCGTGCGTCGGAAATCATCCAGCTCAACACCGTTGCTAACCACTGTGCAGGCGACACACTTCAACTTCTATACGACATCAGAGATATTTCAGAAAATGCTCGACCGACCATTGGAGAAAAAATCTGGCCGCTGCTTTGCGCCCAGCGGACCGAAGCGACGTCTCATCTACTTTGTGAATGACCTGAACATGCCCGAAGTAGATTCCTATGGCACAGTGCAACCGCACACCATCATGCGCCAGTTTATGGACTATAAGCAATGGTGAGTGGCAATTCACCAGGATTAATGCACCATTGTTACATTTACATTTAGGTACGATCGTCAGAAGCTTCAGCTGAAGGACATTCGTCATTGTCAATTCGCGGCTTGCATGAATCCAACCGCCGGCTCGTTCACCATCGATCCGCGCCTGCAACGTCACTTTTGTGTGTTCTCAGTGGCACCACCCAGCGAGGATACTCTCCACTATATATACAGTACGATCTTGAACAACCACCTGGAACAGCCGGCGCAGGGCTTCAGCAAGGAGATCCGTTCCATTGGCAATCTCCTGGTGCAGGTGGGAATCGCTCTGCATCGTCGCGTCGAATATGCCTTCCTGCCGACGGCCATTAAGTTTCACTACATATTCAATTTGCGTGACCTGACCAACATCTACCAGGGCGTGATGAACAGTGTCGGTGCTCCAGTCTCAGCGGGCGGAGCTGCCAGCAGCTACAGCGGCACAGTTTGCAGCAAACCAGCCGAGCTGATGAGACTCTATGTACATGAGGCATATCGAGTGTACCACGACCGACTGGTCGATCAGTATGACATTAAATCGTTTAAGTCCTCCATACGGGATATATTCAAAAAGGATTTCGAAGACTTTGACGAGGACTTTGTCTTTGCCGAGCCATTGATATACAGCCATTTCGCGCAATCTCTGGTAGACCAGAAGTACATGCCACTCAAGAGCTGGGATTCACTCTACCAACTGCTGCTGGAGGCGCAGGCCAGCTATAACGATATTGTGGGATACATGAATCTGGTATTGTTCGAGGATGCCATGATACACATATGTCGGTAAATAAAACAATTCACTTTAAGAGCACATTATGATAATGATGATGTATCCATTGGATTCAAATTAAGCACAAAAGAATCTCATTTCCAGTTTTATATTATTTCTACGTCTCATTCGCAGGATTAATCGTATCCTGGAGAGTCCACGTGGAAATGCTTTGCTCATTGGAGTCGGCGGCTCCGGCAAACAGACCCTGGCACGCTTGGCCGCGTTCATTTCTTCACTGAGTGTGTCGCAAATTCAAATCAAACGCGGCTTTGGGCTGCTCGATATGAGAGATGAGATCGCAAGTTTGTACATGAAGGTGGGACTCAAGAATGTGGCTTCTGTGTTTCTCATATCCGATGCTCAGCTGCCCGATGAGTCCATACTGATGCTGATCAATGATATGCTCGCCTCTGGCGAGATACCCGAGCTCTTTAGTGATGATCAACTGGATACAATCATAAATGGCATACGCAATGAGGTGAAGCAGAGCGGCGCACTGGATACTAAAGAGAATTGCTGGCGCTATTTTGTAGAGAAGGTGCGACGTCTTCTCAAAATCGTGCTCTGTTTCTCCCCTGTTGGACAAACGCTACGTATACGTGCCAGAAAATTCCCGGCTATTATTAGCCGCACTGCCATTAACTGGTTTCACGAGTGGCCCAGGAGCGCATTGGAATCGGTATCCCAAAAGTTTCTCACCGAAATCAGTGACATATTAGAGGTTTGTACGATGCGCCCACTTTATTTATATACGGCTGTGTTTTACGCAATATACAATTTACAACTCTTTACTTTGTGAAATGGTGACCGGCGTTCATTTACAGCCCGAACTCATACCGCCCATTGGCTACTTTATGGCCTACGTACATGGTACGGTGAATCAGATATCGAAAATTTATCTACAGAATGAAAAACGCTACAACTACACGACACCAAAAACATTTCTGGAATACATTTTTTTGTACCGCAAGCTTTTGGTTGACAAAAACGGGGAGTTCGCCCAGCGCATTGCCCGGCTACAGAGCGGCATGGCCAAGTTGGCCGAATGCGCGCGTCAAGTGGACACCCTAAAAGTGAGTAGTTAATACAAAAAAAACTTTAAAAAAATTAAACGTTATAATATTTAAGACTAGGTGAGCAAACTCTAAGGAGATATTCAAATCTGAAAACAATTCAGATAGAAAAATAAATGATTTCCTTTTGTTTATGCTGTGAAATTAACCAACGCAATTCTTTAGGCCTTTTAATATGTTTGTAATATTTGAAGGTTCGATCTCTTTTAGCTTAGGCATAAAATACTAGTTATTTTTTACATCTTATAAGTTTTTATTAAATTCTATGCCTTGTGCAACACTAGGTTAGTGACACCAAAGTTTTCTGATTTTGCTGTTATTTTTTTTCAAACTTGTTTGATACTTATATGCATTAAAAAATGTCGAAAAGTGCTGCAAATAAATATGAAATTGTCCCATCGAACCTCAAGGCAAAGTTTTAAAACAGCCAAAAAGCTTAACCAAATGCTTTAAAAGTAAACTAATTCAATTCAATAAATTATGGCTTAAAAGGAAATAATGCAGTAATGAAAACAAGTTGACAAACTCGTTTTATGCTCTCGTACTCTTTTTTTTCGCCCTGGCACTGCATCATGCATACCAACATACATATGTATAAGAAGTGTATGTGACAGTGGACGGCTTCCATTCAGTTGCAGGTCCGATTTTTTTCATTGGCGCTGCGATATTCGAACCGTCGCGTCGCGTCGCGCCTGGCATTCAATTAGTGCGCTTAATTGAATTGTTGTTACAGCAAATCTGCTGCCCATTCGCCGCAGAGTGCAAAGTGCTGGTGGTGGTAGCCAGGTAGAGTAGACCCCAATGACGGTGATGGCAAGAGTGTCGATGATGGCACTCTTTGAATTGCAGAAGCCGTTTCCGGTTACGCAGCGTATACGCAATGCTGGAAATGGCGCCGCGGCAATCGAATTTACTTTGTAGCATACTTTTGAGCGCTAAACAAAAAGTTCTGAAACAGTCGAACAAAAAAAAGGACGCGTAATGCTATTTAAACTAATTGAATTTAATGGAACTCGTTTGTATTGAAGCACAGACGTCAGCCTCAGTTTTCATGTGCGTGTTCAGAACACTCATTACATAATAAGGCGTGGCTGTGTAGAGTGTGTGCACATGTGTTTATGTTGGAGCTGCCACAATTTCTGCGATAAAGTTGCACCGTGTCAATATTGGGCCAGCGTGCCAGAGCTTTAATTAATTTCGTTGGCCAACAAAGTTTTAAAGTTTCAGTTTGAGTTAGAAAGAACTTTTCTTTTATGCGGTACACAGCATCAACTGGCAATACAAGAAGTCCAACTGGCAGCAAAAAATGCGGCTGCCGACAAGCTGATCGTCATTGTAAGTGCCGAGAGCGAGAAGGTGAAGCGTGAACGCTTTACAGCCTCCGAGGAGGAGAAACGTGTACGCATCATAGAGGAGGATGTTTCGATCAAGACCAAGCTCTGCGAGCAGGATTTGCGACAGGCCGAACCAGCTCTGGTTGCTGCCCAGGCAGCGCTCAACACCCTTAACAAAAATAACCTAACCGAGCTAAAGTCCTTTGGATCGCCGCCCAAGGCCGTGGTCAACGTATGCGCTGCTGTGATGGTTCTACTGGCCACGAATGGTAAGATACCGCGCGATCGCAGCTGGAAGACAGCAAAGCTGATGATGGTGCGTGTGGATCAGTTTCTCAACGATTTGCTCAACTATAACAAGGACAACATTCATCCAAACATTATTGAGACGCTGCAGGAATATCTCAAGGTGAGTGCATATGTCTTACGCAGTCTGTCTAGCTCTACTTTTGCGGTCGTTGGAGAAAGAAATAGATAATTTCATAATTGGCAAAACCTAAAAAAAAAATGTATGGTATTGATGACAGCAGACGGCTTATTGACCAAAGAACTTTACTTATCTCCCAAAATCTTACTTATCTCCCAAGCCAAACACTTTCCAACCTCCTGGGAAAGCCCTTTTCTAGTCCTTAAATATTCACACATTCCATTTAAGAGAGTTTAACTTTGGGAAAAGAAGGAAGCACGCCTTCAAATTAATTTTTAAAAAGATTCTTGGATATAAATTTGCATCTTAAACTTTGCCTATCTATGACTCCCACCTTTAACAAGGAGGGGTGGAGTTCGCAAAAAGTATTGGCCGTGCGTTGATTACAAGTGAGGTCCAACAGTTTTAAAAAACACATCTCATTTTTATAGGATCCCGAGTTCAATCCAGACAAAGTCGTCCAAAAGTCGGTGGCAGCTGCAGGCCTTTGCGCCTGGGTCATCAATCTGCATCGGTATCATCAGGTCTTCCTCATTGTTGGCCCCAAGCAGCAAGCCGTGCAGGATGCCCAGCAGGAATTGTTCGAGGCACGTGAACGACTACAGTATCTCAAGTCGAAAATAAACAATTTGGAGGACAAGCTGGCCGAGATCCAGGCTGAGTTTGAGCATGCGGTGGCCGAAAAGCAAAAGTGCCAACGGGAGGCGGACAAGACGTCCTTTACCATCGATCTGGCGCATAGGCTAGTCAACGGACTGGCCAACGAGAATGTCCGCTGGCGAGAGTCGGTGCAAAGGTGAGTAAGAGAGCGGTAGCCTCGCGTTTATGCGCCATCAATTATTAAATTTAATTTACATTTTGTGTGTGTCCGCAATCGCTTTAATTGCTTTTCCGCACCCCTCCAACCATTCGCTCTGGACCTCAGTTGAACGAACTCCACCGGCATTTCGCACACTTGCGGCCCACCGCAGCAACAAAAGCCCGTACATTGTATTTACTTGCGCTCATTTGGCCCACTGCAAGTCGTCACAACCCCACTCCCCACCCCCAACTACCATCACCCGCCTCCAAAGGCCACCAATTGTACAAATTGCACACTGTCGCAGGCAATGAACTGCCCGCCGTTTATTCTGTCGACAGTAAATAAGAGGCGACTCCTCTGAGCTGGGCACTTTCAACACTTACCCCCGGTAATGGGATACACCCCAAAAAGACACTTAAAGCACGGCGTACGTTAAATTGGCCAGAACTCGCTCTGCTACAGACATTAAAATCATTCGATTACTCTTTAAAAGAAAATGGGATTAATATCAACAAATATAGCTTATAGATAAAATATATTAAAAAGAGAATAAACAAAAAAACATAAGAAATGGACTATTACAGTCGAGATACGAAATATTTACTCCTGCTGTAGCCTGATATCGTATAAAGCAATTTTATATGGAATATAAAACAACAACTATATACTTTAGATACTCTATGAGAGAAAGCACAGTTTTGTTCGGAATGCCAAAGATGTATGAACTTTTCAGATATACGACTAATAAACCATATTGTAATTTTATCATTTAAATACTTCACAGTATTTGGCTATGTCCTTCTTTCCCTTCATTGTAAATATCCCATATCCCAATATCCCTCTATGTTAATTCCTATATCTTATAGGTTCATTCGCTTGGTAGAGATCAGAAGATACTGATTGATTCCAGCGCCAAATAAGACGAATTAAAATATTAATTCGCTGCAAAACATATTTTTACCGTTTGCCTAAATTCGATATCAATAACATGAAACTAACTAAAATAGTTTAATAAATATTGTGTGCGAACAATATTTGATCAAATAAAGTCCTTGCACTTTAATTAAATCCCTTATTTATTACTCCAATTATAATAATAGTAAGCCAAGTTTTTTGTTCGCCTTCGGTAAAATCGTATGGCTTATAAATCATATGGGTTTTGATGATTATAGAAATAGGAGAAACTTGAATGATTTTTTAGGGTAAAGCTTTATGTGAAAATGCTTATACATTCGTGTAGTTGTTCGTAGCCCACATACATATATTTATGTGCAATTGTAAAACTTAATCAAATTCACATAAATGTCAACTGCAATATTCGGGCAGTGCACAAAATGTGCTCTCGACACCTTTAGCTGGCCATTGGCAATGACTATTTGCAGATTTGCCATGAAATTCAATTGATTGCGCATGCAAGGCAAAAGAATATCCACAAAGGCCAAGCCTGTCTAGTGAAATATGGTAGCGGGGGCTTTTTTTGCATCTAAATAACTGCAAAATTCACACACGTGCACACATGGGTATTTAATCGGCCGCACAATTCGACAACGTCAGCACCTGACTCGCCAGAGGGCACATTCATGAATACATATGTACATATGTGCAAAGGGTATTGAATTATGAAAAATGTTGTTGCCGCTCGAATCTAACAGGCAGGTGTGTTTCGTACAGCTGTCTGAATGAACTTGTTCCCAAGTGTGTGTGTGTGTGTGTGTGTGTGTGTGTGTGTGCGTGTCTGTGTACTTGTGAGGCTGCTATTCAAACTAGCTGTGATCCATACAGAGTATGCGTACAATGCACTGGCAAAGGAGCAACCGCCTCAGTCAAATACTGGCAGAGGATTCCATGCCCAAATGTCAAAATTGAAAACCTTATTGCTCTGAGCACATTCAAATATTTATGAAAATATAATTTGCGCAGCAACAACAACAACAACAACAGTAAGGGCAGAGCTGTAGTAAAAACTACAAATTGTGCGGTTGCAGCTGTATTTGTGTGTGCGTGTCTGTGTGTGTTTGTGTGTGTGTGTGTGTGTGTGTGCGTGTCTATGTGTCAGTGCGTAAACCGTTATGACTTGCATATAAATTTCTATTTGACTATAGCATTAAATATTCTCCAATGCATGTGCATACATATGCATGTACACACACACACACACACACACAAACGCGCATGTGTCTGTGTATTGGTGTTGGCAATAGTTGTTGCTGGCATTGCAAAGCTGCTTTTGAAATATATTTTCTGTTTTGAATGAGAATGCTCTTATGGCACTTGACAGGTATTTTATCAAATTCTGAATGGAATATTTCCTTAAAAACAATTATTTTAATTTCACAATTCGCACATATAGTACACAAATGCAGGTCGACACACAGTTGCAGTTATATATATATATATATATATATATAAATGACTACCAAGGACTATTAGAAACTCACATTTGAACCATTATGTTTGTATAAGAACTAAACATAAATCATTTAAACTTTAGGGCAATAATCTTATGCAAAATGTTACGATTACTTGTACAACATAGAATGAGCGCATTAAGTACGATGCCCTACTTGCAGTCGGGCCACTCTTTCCCTGCATCAATTATGGTGCAGTTTAAGTATTTTAATAATAGCTGGCATGCAGCAATTTCTAATAGGAATTTGTAGGGCCACTTGTACACGAGAACACGAATCAATTTTTAAGGACAGCGCAGAAATTGATAGGGATGCAGATGATGATGCTCCTAATGCCGATATTGTTCTTGTTCTCTTGTTCTGCTTAAGTCGCTAAAGTTACATCCAAGTCATGGCAAGGACTTACGAGGGTTGATTAAAAAGTCTTTAACATGTATATTACTTTATTGGCACAAAAAATAGTTTAGCCGTTTTATAGTCTGTTAAACTTTGCTTAAGCTCCAACTTCTTATGTTTATTTACAATTAATATTTGTTTTAAATAATGAAATAAAATGAAAATGAAATAATAAATGAAGTATTTAGGTCACTGGAAAACGCATTAAATTTTCAGCAAATATTTCTTTTTATTTGACTTTTAAAAGGTAAACACGAAAATATTTATTTCCCACCTTTTTTTATGCTGTAATCCCTGAGGGAAAACGAGTTTATTCGTGTTATGCTGTATCCAATATCTAGGTAACTTTTCGAACCTATCATAGTCTATCAATGGGTAGACTTATTGATCCGCCCTCGCATTAAACCCTCTTCAATGTTATTATTTTTCCAATTTCCCGTCTATTCAAATGCAATGGATGCTCGACGAGCAGCCTTCAGTTTCCTGCTGCACTTGTAATTTATACTTGAAGCACAATTTAAAGTCGCTAAGGGATGGATTAATGCCCCACCGTTTAGCAGGTCAACTTTCACGTTATTCGTATTCTACTATTCCATTCAAAAGTTTACAGGCAAAGATTGGCACCCTACCCGGAGATATACTGTTAATTTCCTCGTTCCTGTCGTACGTGGGCTGCTTTACGCGCCGCTATCGCGAGGAGCTGCAGCACAAGATGTGGCTGCCGAGCTTTTGCAAAATGGACGTAAGTGCTTGCTGGTGTCTAAGTGCTTGGCTTAACTGTGCTCACTTTGTCTGTGCCACGACAGCCCCAGATACCGTACACTCAGGGAGTCGACCCGCTGGCGCTGCTCTCGGACGATGCACAAATTGCCACCTGGAATAACGAGGGTCTGCCCATGGACGGCATGTCCACAGAGAATGCAACAATACTGCAGCACTCAACGCGCTGGCCTCTGATGATTGATCCACAGCTGTGAGTACCATAATTTTGGGATTAAAAGTAATGTAGCACAGAGAGCGAAAGTTGCGAGTCGCAGACGACCGACTTTTAGATGCCCTATAGTCTGGTTCGCAATATTGTAATATTTCCTTTTATAATAAGTTTTTATAGGTATGCATAGAAAAAAGAAACATAAATCTAGACTTTAGGCCAGGATGCCATTGTTATTTATGGGCTATATAACTAAAAAGCTTTGTTTGTCTCAAAGATATGTCTATGTAGACGTATGTAGATGCCCGTTTCCAACATTATTTCTATACAAAAAACATTCTCATAACCGGACGCTCCAATAACTGGAAGTGTCCCCATCCTTTCTTTAAAAAGAATATTTTTCATAAGCTGTCAGAAGCAAATTCGCAAGCAAGAATTCAAAAAAAAACTGTTGTTAGCCCTTTACCAATACCAAGCCATATTTATGTAGATGTCAATGAAATTGTTGGGGCTTTGATGCAAATGTACATATAAAAATAACATAATAACATGTTGACATAAATGGATGGCAATGAAATTAAAGGCTATTTGAAGGAGTTAGTTGCTTACTAGAATAAGAAAAACAAAAGAAATCTATTAATGTGATACTGATTTAAACATAAAAACATGGGCTATATAAGCTCAGCAGTGGCATTTAATGAGTAGCTAATAATTACAATCCAGTCAGGGCATTAAGTGGATCAAGAGCCGCTTTGGAGCCGCTCTGGTGGTGTTGCGTCTCACGCAGCGCGGCTTTCTAGAGGCACTGGAGAAGTCCATCTCACGTGGCGACACGGTGCTCATTGAGCAAATCGAAGAGACCATGGACACCGTGCTGGAGCCGCTGCTGAGTCGCGCGCTGATCAAAAAGGGCCGTTATCTGCGAATTGGCGAAAAGGAAATGGAGTTCAATCCGAATTTCCGTCTCATACTGCACACCAAGCTGGCCAATCCGCACTACAAGCCGGAAATGCAGGCGCAGACGACGCTAATTAACTTCACGGTGACACCGGACGGCCTCGAGGAGCAGCTGCTGGCGGAAGTGGTGAAAATTGAGCGGCCGGACTTGGAGCAAATGAAAACCGATGTCACCATCCAGCAGAACATGTTCAAAATCTCGCTAAAGGCACTCGAGGATGAACTGCTGGCCAGACTGGCCTCGGCCAGCGAGAATGTGCTCGATGATCATGCGCTGGTCCTCAATTTGGAGAACACCAAGCGCACTGTCGATGAAATTGAATCCAAGGTACGGGAGGCTCACCTAACCACGTTGCAAATTGACGAAACGAGAAACATATATCGTGCCGCGGCCAAGCGGGCTGCGATTTTATACTTTGTACTCACGGATCTCAATCGCATCAATCCCATATACAAGTTCTCCTTGAAGTCCTTTATGAATGTCTTTCGCCAGGCCATTGCCGTGGCGCCCGACTCAAAGAGCTACGAGAAGCGCGTGCTCCATTTGGTGGACTCGATAACCCTGCAAACCTATCGCTATACCCTGCGCGGTCTCTTTGAGGCGGACAAGCTGACATTCACCTCGCACCTGACGCTGCGCATCATGATTGCCGCCGAGCAGGTGGCCAAGGATGAGACCGATTTTCTGCTGCGCTATCCGCACGATCCCAACACGCTGTCCCCATTGGACTTTGTGGGGCGCAGCGCCTGGGGCGGCATCAAGTCGCTGGCGCTCGTAGAGCATTTTTATGGCATCGACAAGGACATGGAGAACTACACGAAACGCTGGCGCAAGTTCATGGCCAGCGATGCGCCTGAGCGGGAGCAGTTCCCAGGCGAATGGAAGCATCGCTCTCCACTGCAGAAGCTTTGCATTGTGAGAGCTCTGCGGCCCGATCGCATGACCTATGCCATGGCTCAATTTGTGGAGCAGACAATGGGTCGCGCCTATGCCGAAGTGCAGACCCCGCCCTTTGTGGCTATCTTCAAGGAGCTAAACGCGGCCACGCCCGCCTTCTTTATACTCTCACCTGGCGTGGACCCCATACGCGATGTGGAGCGACATGGGCAGCAACAAGGTTTCCATGCGGATGCCGGAACTCTGATCAATATCTCACTGGGGCAGGGACAGGAGCTGCTGGCCGAAGAAGCCATCGAGCAGGCCTTGGCCTCGGGCCAGCAGTGGGTCATACTCCAAAATATTCATCTGGTGGTGAATTGGTTGCCCACGCTGGAAAAGCTTATCGAGCGTATAGTGCTGCAGTCGGAGTCTCAAGGTGATTCCGATTTCCGTCTGTTTATTAGCGCCGAGCCTGCTCCTGATCCGCAGTACCATGTCATACCACAGGGCATTTTGGAGTCCTCACTGAAGGTGGTTAATGAACCGCCCGCGGGCATGGCCGCCAATCTGCACAAGGCCTGGGATAATTTCTCGCAGGATACGCTGGAAACGTGCACTCAAGAAGCCGAGTTTAAGTCCATACTCTTTGCCCTCTGCTACTTTCATGCAGTGGCCGGCGAGCGCCGCAAGTTTGGACCTCAGGGCTGGAACAAGGTGTATCCGTTTAACATTGGCGACCTGACCATCTCGGCCAGCGTGCTGCACAACTATCTGGAGGGCAGCAATCGCATACCGTGGGAGGATCTGCGCTATCTCTTTGGCGAAATTATGTACGGTGGCCACATAACCGATGACTGGGACAGACGGCTGTGCCAGACGTTTTTGGAGGAGCTGCTGCAGCAGGATCTCATCGATGGTGACTTCGAGCTATGCCCCGGCTTTCCAGCACCGCCCAATCTAGAATTTGAGGGCTATCATGACTACATCACTGAGATGCTGCCCGAAGAGTCGCCTCTGCTCTATGGACTGCATCCGAATGCTGAAATCGGGTTCCTTACAAGCGCCTCGGAGCAGCTGTTGCGCACCATTTTTGAGCTGCAGCCGCGCGAATCGGAGCTGAGCACACACTGCGGTGCACCGCGCGAAGAGCTGGTCAAAATCATGATTGACGATTTCCTCGACAAGCTGCAGGACGAGTTCAATCTACAGGCGCTGCTCAATCGCGTGGAGCGCAAGACGCCCTTTGTGGTCGTTGCGCTGCAGGAATGCGAGCGTATGAATGCGCTTATTCGCGAGATCAAACGCTCCCTGCGCGAACTTATGCTCGGCCTGAAGGGCGAGCTGACCATCACACAGGAAATGGAGCGTCTGGACTATGCCATTTTCTATGATCATGTGCCGACGGCCTGGGCCCAGCTGGCGTACCCCAGCATGCTGGGCCTGCAGGGCTGGTTCGCTGATCTGCTGCATCGCATCAAGGAGCTGGCCGGTTGGCTAAATGACTTCAAGCTGCCCTGCGCCATCTGGCTGGGTGGCCTGTTCAATCCGCAAAGCTTTCTCACGGCCATCATGCAGGAGAGCGCCCGAAAGCATGATCTACCCTTGGATCGCATGCTGATCAGCTGTGACGTGACCAAAAAGCAAAAGGATGATGTCACGTAACTAGATCGGTTGAACCCAACCGTTCATATTTATCCACACTCTCCTGCTTTTAGCTTGCCACCTGTTGAAGGCGCTTATGTGCACGAGCTTTATCTGGACGGCGCCAGCTGGGACTGTCAGCTAAACTCCATTGTGGCGCTGCATCCCAAGGAGCTGCTCTGCGCCATGCCAGTGATCTATATCAAGTCCATTGTGCAGGAGAAACAGGAGCTACAGCGCGTCTATGAGTGTCCACTGTACAAGACCAGGTGGGTGACAATTGAACTGCTCCCAGCTAGATTTACCCCTGCCATTTACTTGTTACTTGAGCTCTCTTACACTTGCAGGTCGCGTGGCAACACCTACGTCTGGACCCTCAATCTGAAAACACGCGACCGCCCAGCCAAGTGGATATTGGCAGGAGTCGCTCTTTTGTTGCAGCCCTAAAGCATAATTAATACCCAGCACGCAACGGAGCAATTCATTGTTCGCCTCGTCATCATTGCAAGCGTCGATTTCTACTGAAGAAATTCATCAATACACTCTTTTAACGCCTTCGTGGAATCCCACACATCGCAACTGACGTAATTTTTGCGTTATTACGCTTCAAGATTTATAAGTAAGCATTATACAGGTTAAACGTAAAGCTAACCCGGCATACCCTATAAAGTGTGGCCCGTTTTCAAGTGGGTCTTTTAAATTACAATATTTTTCCATTAAGTATGTATAAATATATTTAAAAACAAGTAAGAGCTTCTAGTCGGGAGCTCCCGACTAGGGGATACCCTGAACCCTCTTCTTCCAACATCAAATGCATATATATATTCTATTTTAAAAGCTATATGTCAAGTTTGGTGACTCTCGCTCTTATTATTTACAGGATATCGACATCGATTGTTATCGATTGCTTGGAAACGGAGTAAGTTATCGATTATCGGAAACAAACTCGATCTGCGCGGGAACTAGGAGCACCTACATTTAAAATTTCAAGTCTCTAGCTCTTATAGGTGATGAGATCCATGCGTTCATACATACGGACGGACGGACGGACGGACAGACAGACGGACATGGCTAGATCGATTCGGCTATTGGCGCTGATCAAGAATATACATATATACTTTATGGGGTCGGAGATGCTTCCTTCTGCCTGTTACATACATTTGGCTTTCGCACAAATACAATATACCCTTATACCCATTTTGAATGGGTTCAGGGTATAAAAAGCGTGCTAGCTGTTATCAGTTGGAAACGTATGCAAAGTTCAGGCAGCTTGGCCAATTTGTTTGATTTATTGAAAAGGCAGGAAGTCTAACAAAATATTCATTCTACCAAATACTCAGCATGCTCGTAATAATTGGAATTACACAAAATCTGAAATAAGAGAAAATGCCTAGCTCTGCTTAAAGAAAAGTACGTAAAAATAAATTCGTAAAAATAAATTTCAACCTTTTGTAGTTTGTTTATTGTTTTCTTAACAAACCAAAAGTCTCGCATTGCTTGAGATAAACAACACGAGCTTATTTCGCTAATCAGCTAACTTCATGCCTAGATTATAACACACCATATTATCAGAGTCAATGAGTCTTTCACGTAGGCCACGTGAGCCCGGGCCACAGCCAGCTGCTGCCCGCGTGTGCGATCCGTATATAATTATCATATAGTATGCACGCAATCGGCCGACTTATTCCGCCTCCCACTTGCCGATCACGTGCGGAGATTTGTTTGCCGGCGTTCAATCAATGAAAGTCTCAGAAATTTCAAGTACATGCCGAGACCTTTGCGCTGATAAGTCAGTTTTGTATGCGTCAAAGCTGGTCGGGGGGGAAAAGTACTGACAAAAAAAAGAGGGGCCCGACGCTTTAATTTTCAAGCGTGATCTCAGTTGAATTAATTAGTCGCCCGGTTACATTTTATAAATATGACGCGCTGGACTCAAATGGTTTGCGTCTGCTGTTTAATTACGCAACTCAAAGTTGAATTTACAAATTGAAATCGCACGCTGCCAACGACCTTTGCGCTCACTTTTCTTCGGCACAGCTCGTTGCCAAGCGGCGATTTCTTATACCCTGTATCCGATATTGGATAAAATAGATCACGTCTGGATTATCAACTGCAATAGCAATGATATATAGAATATATGATGATATTCAACAGCTCGAACAGCTCGCCTACACACGATAGGTATTTTCCACTCTGCATACCCTCGAATCAACAAGTTGTTCCGACATTTTGCGCAGTTCGCCTTGGGCATATCTTCGGTCCACATACTCGCAAAACTCTGGATTTGAACCCGGAACTTATATATTTTATTTGCAATGAACCGAACTTTAAACCGGGTTCGTTGTACAAAGAGCAAAAAAATAAAAAAAATAATCCGAATCAATTAAAATATAGCATAATAAATTTATAATAAATGGAATAAACCGAAGATCTATTGAAATTCGAACCCTGAGACGAGGCGCTGATTCGAACAAAGAATCGAACCACCGTAAATATTTGTTGGGTGCGCAGCACATGAGATTCTACTTTATACAGGGTATCACGGCGTCGAATACGCTTAATAATACGCTGCTTTTTCACCAATGTCTGTGCCTATTATGTCAGCATGCAAACTCTCGCTTTGGCGTATTCCCCGAACACGGGAACATAGCGTGACACAGTCCCAGCGAACGTATGACCAATCCGTCCGCTCGACCGACACGCCGATCGTTCGTGGGGAGTGGGGAGGGGGGAGGGGGCGGACGTACGCAACGAGCGAACGTAGGCATTTTGTTAGTTTTGTAGATAAAAGTAAGTCGTTTTGGCCCCCGACGAGACGATGATTGCAGCGCGTCGATCGGCCCCATCAGACAGACATTATTACAAATGCAAACCGGCCTCGCGTCGCCCCGCTCAACGCTTGTCGCTCATACGAAAAGTATTTAAATGGGAAATAATTCGGTATGAATAGTCAGAATCGCACTAATTGTGAAGCGGCAAACGTCTCACTCGGCACAAGCATTCAAATAGAAAGCAATATATTTTCCGAGGCAACAAATCCTATTTAGAGGTAAGCACAGAGACTTTCTAAATTTAATGCACGCGAAAATGTGGCACCCAGGCAGTGAAATATTTTTACATTTCAATATTAAAATTATTTTCTACTAATGTAAACTTCGATTTTTAATCTTAGAAAAAACTTAATATATATATATATAATATGGCCACTGCACACTTACCCATACAAAAGTACAAATACCATGAGCACAATGGCGAGCCCGGCTGCCAGGGTCTGGAGGAAGTGAATCGCATGTTCCGCAATTTCTGGGATCCCACGGCTTACTGGATGTGCGATAAGCAGGGCACGCGCGCCCGCCTGCAACGCTGCCCGAAATCCCAACTGTATTCCGAGGAGCTCGGACGTTGTGTGCACTACACGGACTGGAGCTGGACGGAACCCAAGGAACCTCCAAGTCGGCCAAAGTGCTAGACACCGTTCAGAGCTCAGCAGCCCGCACACACTCTCACTACTCACTATTTATGCTTAATTTAATAATATACATATACATAATTAATATTTAAGTCGTTTTTAGAAAACACTTTACTCTTTAAGTGAAAAAATACAGAAAAGATCAGTACAAAAAGAAAAGTATTTTCATATTAGAATTAAGTGTCTATTAATTGCTTAACAATTTCGGGTATTCTTTAAATAGTGAGCGTACTTGTTGTCGTCAAGTAATGTGAATTTAACTGGAATGCAAATGTTTTTAACAATTGGGAATGTTTCGTAATTGAAAACGATTGATTATAGCAAAACTCAATTATATGCAGGTTGTGCGACATATAAATAGCTGCATTAAACAAACAGATTTTTCAGTTAACGCTTGCAGCTAGTTAAAATTTAACTAACTAGTTTCAAACTAAATTATTAACTGGCCTTGGCCTGAGTGTTTGGGCATGAGACTTTCGATTTTTTTTTCGGCGATTTGCGAGAAAGGCAAGAGAACTAACTGCCGCAAAAAGGAGAACTCAAGACAGTGCAGCCGCTCTTAGAGCTCCACGTGGGCGCCCTGCTTATTGATCACCTTAAGCTTTTCCGTTTGCGGTAGCTTGGTGTCCCCGGGAATCTCTTCCTTAATAGGCGCCGGCTGCTTTGGCACTTTGCGCTTTGTGTTTGTTGTTTCCGGCTTTGCAGTGGTGGTTGTTGTTGTTGTTGTTTTTGTTGTGGTGGTTGGTTTCTTTGTTGCCGGCTTGGGCGTCGTTGTTGTTGTAGTTGTTGTTGTTGTTGTGGTTGGCTTAGCCGCGGTGGTCTTTGGCTTGGCAGTTGTCGTAGTTGTTGTAGTTGTCGTCGTTGGTTTCTTGGTAGTGGTAGTCTGTGGCTTCTGTGTGGTGGTCGTAGTCGTGGTGGTGGTGCTGGGTTTTGGTGCTGCCTTGGGCTTGGCAGTGGTTGCAGGTGGCGGTGCACCAACGGAGGCCTCCAGACCCTCACCCTCGACGCGCACATTGCGCACTTTAACGGTGGGCTGCTTGGCCGCCTTTGGAGACTTGACGCGTGCCAAATATTGATTGAAGGGCGAGCCTAGATACAAGTAATCTTGGAATTCCAGCACATGTGAAACGCCCACAACGGACTTATCGAAGCCATGCAGCGAGCCGACAATATTGCCATTCCAGTCCACGCGAACCACAGTGGTGCGCTTGGGCGCCAGCAGCATGGCCATCTCACCATGTCCCACAAAGTGAACAAAGCGCTGCGAGAATTTGTTGGGATACACGCTATTAATGTAGCGGAAAGGCAGCTCAAAGAGCGCTAGCATACGGGCCAGGAACAGACGTATGCTGGGGAAGCGTGAGAAGAGCGAGAAGCTGTTGGGATGCTCGCTATCGGCACTAGACACTATAGGCACCCATATACCCTCGGCGTCGGGCGTCAAATTATCGGGCAAGCCGGGCAAGCCCTCTACAAAGACCTCGCTCTCGCCAGCCTTGGCGCCCTTCAAGTGATACTTTGTCAGACGCATAGCGCCCGTCTCGGCGACCACGATGAAGTCTTCGTTTGGGCTCAACGCAACGCCGTTGGCAAAGAACAGCTCGTCCAGCAGAACCACGCTCACATTCTTGGCCCGATTGTATTTGAATAGACTACAAAAAAGAGAAAACATTTGATAGAGAGCCGTTAGGTCAGAAACCGGTTTCGACGGCAGCCATCCGTTGAAATAGTCAAATGAACTCACCGTCCAGACGGATTAGCGAACGAGGCAAAGACCAAATCTTGTATGGTAAAGTCTGAAGAGGAGTCGGTCCAGTAGATCTCGCCCTCTTTGCTGACGGCCACAGAATTGAAAGTCTTGGCACGGCGGTTAATGCTCTTGCCAGGCAACTCTTGAGCCGGCGACACCAATAGTTTCTTTTGGTTCGTGGTCAGGTCAACTTGCCACAGTCCATAGTAGGCGTCGGCAACGATCAGATTATTTCCCTGTGTGTCGAATGCCATGCCCAGCGGACGACCACACTGCGCCTCCTCATAGACTTCCGCTGCAAGAAGCTATAGTTTTTAAGAAGTTCTGCCAATGCAAGGCATAAGACTTACCGCAGGGCTGGCCGAACTTGGCCACATGCGTGACGTGGTTCGAGGTTAACTTGATGACCTCACCGCCATGTAGGCCAGTGTAGATCTCATTGTTGCGCGCAATCAGGCACTCTGGGCCGTAGACGCGGTTCTCCAGCAAACGCTCGGCGCCCTCCAGGTGAAAGTTGGACTCAAGGGCGCCCTTAAGTTCTTTGGGCGGGGCAACGCTATATAGAATTGGTTATTGGAAGCAATTCAATCGTTGCATTTAACTTACGTGAAATCTTTATAGGGGAAAGTGGTGCGTGGGGGCAGACCCGGCAGCAAAATGATAATTAGAAAGAAAATCATGAAATTCATGATCCTCACACGCAACGCCTTCAGCAGACCCATGGCTACGTACGTATGTGTTGGACCCGCCCTTTCCACTAATTAAACAATATAATCTATAGTAAATGGCAGCACGGGCCAAGAAAAACTAAAAGCGACACGACGGCAAAGTTCAACACGAAAATCTAAAAGTCATCGCACCGGTGCAGTAAACCAGGGCTGCAAAACAAACAAATATCTAAACCGGGTATCAGATATGCGCGATGTATGCTGCTATGCAGTCACCGTCGCTTAACAAACTCTTAAGCACATCAAATGCCAAACAACTTGTAAATTTGCATTTCTTACAAACTAAAATCATTTAAATCTAACATCAATTCAGCTCAAAACATAAATTGAGGCCACTTGTCACTACTTGCAGTATATTTGCTATACGCTCCGTCAGAAATACCAAAATAATGCCTATCGACCGGCCGCCACACTGTGAACTAGTTCTAATTGCGGAACCAGCCAACTGAAATGCTCTTGTTTTTGTGACAACGCAGTTGATAATGAGTGACAACCAGATCAGCAAAGAGGAGGCCTACAATATGGAGCAAGATCAAGAACAGGGCGGCAAACACTATTCCCGCTGCAGCAGCGCAGGCAGCACCCACACACCCAACTCGTCGGCACACAATTCTGGTAAATTGCTCGCGGTTGCAAATTTGTTTGTTTGTTTTCGCGTTCGCAGCGTGACGAACAGCTGATAATGCTGGCATTGAGTTTCCCTTGCCATTGTTATTGTTGCTGTCGCTGTTGCTGTTGCTGTTCCTGGTATCCATTATCAGCGAGCAGCGTTTTATTACACCACCCGACCTGTCTCTGTCTGTTTACCCCCGAACAGATGATGACGACGATAGCGGCGATGCGCGACACTCTGGCGCCATAAACGCGAGCTCGACGCTGAGCTACAAGGAGCGCAGGCGCTCGGCGCACACGCAGGCAGAGCAGAAGCGTCGGGATGCGATCAAGAAGGGCTACGACAGTCTGCAGGAGCTGGTGCCGCGCTGTCAGCCGAACGACTCGTCCGGTTACAAACTGAGCAAAGCGCTGATACTGCAAAAGTCTATCGAGTACATTGGCTATCTGAATCAGCAGAAAATCAGGCAGGAGGACGAGAGTGCGGCACTGCAGAAAGAGGTGACGGCGCTGCGTATCATACAGAACGGCTACGAGACTATGCTGCAACATCAGCAGGCCAATCCGGGGCCCGAGGAGGCGCGCCTCACAGACGAGGCCAAATTTCAAGTGGTCAGCACTCCCCAGAATCGACATATGTTGTATTGATGCCAATTGACTCTCGTTTCACAGTTTCAGGCAATACTGGACGAAATGTTTGAGACATTCCAGAACATACCCATGGACAACTTCAAGCAGCTGACCGCCGGCGTCATACCGTGGCTGGAGGAGCATTGCAAGCCGCACATTTTGCGCAACATTCTCAGCCGTACGCTGCAGCAAATGGCCCAGGAGACGCAGGAGAAACAGCAGCAACAGCAGCAGGCCATGGAGCAGGAAACGGGCGAGGGCTTCAGTTGAAAGCCATTTTGTTAAGATTTCTGAATCCTGTTTTTGTTTTTCTCTCTTTCTTTTGGTAAAATGCTTTCAATTAGTAAATGCGTCATTTAGTTGTAAAAGCGAGCGTTACGAGAATTCTAGACTAACATTGACTTTTTGGCTTATGCTTAAAGATTAGATAAATGCTACAGCTAGATAAGCACAACCCAAATACATAAATTTAGCTTAGTGCGTGTCTGCCGCGCCCGTCCAGCAGCTGACGCACTACGTCTGCCTGCTCTGCGGCGCCCAAGAGCTGCAGCAACTGCAGCAGTACATTCAGCGTGTAAGTCTTGAAGCGAGCCATTTGCTCGCTAGCACCCAGAGCTGTCAGCAGCTGCTGCTGATATTGCTGCAGCCTGGCCACTGTCCACACGTGTCGCGCCTCGTGCTGCAGCTTGAGCACGCCCGCTTGCAGGGTGTACAGCAGACCTTCGTAGAAGTTGTCCTCTTGCAGCTGCGCAGCCATTTTGGCGCTGGCCAGCAGCACCGCCGGCAGATCGCGCCGGAAATCGTGGGCGCGCACAAAGCAGGTGGCAGCCAGCAGACGCACCTGCTCGCATTTGTGCCGCAGCAAACGCCAGCTGAGACGACGGAAGCGTTGCAGCAGCCGAGTCGACTGCTGCGGCTGGCCGGTGGTGCACAGATGCTCCACCTTGGAGAGGAAGCCCAGAAACAGTATAATCGAAGAGGTGACCTTGTCGGTATTGCAGCAGCGTAGCATGTGCTCACAGGCCTTCGGCAGCAGACATGCCAGTTCCTCGTAGTTCATTTCACTCGGCTCCCAGGCGAGCTTGGTTTCAAACTCCGTCGCCTGCCGCTGGCCGACCAGCTTGCCGAGCGTGGCACCGAACAACTGCAGCGCGGCATTCGAAATGGTCCACTCGGTGTTGTCGATGTGCGCTATGGCCACCAGCATGATCTCGTCGTAGTACTTGCACATGGCCGGTCGCAGCTCCGTGTCGCGCACCAGCACGCACAGGTAATGCAGCGCCAAGGCCTCCCAGCGATCGTGGTTGCTGCTGCTGTTGGATGCGTCGCTGTTGGTGGCTCCATTTAGGCGCTGCAGTATGCGCTGCACGGCGCGATGCAGCAGCAAACGCTGGCGCGGATCGTCATTTTTGAGCACATGCAGAAACATGATAGCGAAACCCGCACCGCGCCGCGTGGTGCTCACCTGGCGGCACTCGGAAAGCAGCTGCCGCTCCAGGCAATCGTGCAGCAACTGAAAGCCCTGATCCTCGCCAGCTAGGGTGCTGGTAATAGCGCGCGTTAGCTTGCCAATGCTCAGCCCAGCGGCCTCTATGGCGCCCTTGTGCCGGCAGCGAGTCAGCACAGCCATATTAATGTCCAAGCAGCGCTGCAGAGCTGCGTAGTCAGGCGCGCTTTTGGTTGAGCGGAGCAGCGCTGATCCCAAGCTGGTGGCCAGGTCACAACTAGCCTAAAAAAAAAAATCAGAGGATTAGTCAAGGCGGCGCACGGCTTGTTAAATTTAGGTACCTTTAATGTCAGCCAGAAACTCATGAGCAAATACTTGCGACAGGCTTCGGCATCCTCAAGCGCCTCGTAGACGCTCTCACTGACCAACAGCTGCAAGCTCTCGTCCATATCCTGAAAACTGGCGGCTGTTGCGTCCGCTCCCTCGCGCCGGGCATTGGCCAGATTAAGAAACTTCAGAATTACATTGAGTATACGTTCGAGCAGCGGCAATAGTTCAACGACAGCTGCTTCGGGTCTACGACTACCGCCGCTGATCAGCTCGTCCAGGACGCGAATGTGGCCAAATAGATGACCGCCAGCACACTTTGTGGTCTGCAGTGGATCGTGCTGGAATGCGTCGAATTTGCTCGTCAATTGCTGCAGGCATTGATCGTAGAGTGCTTTGGTCAGCTGTGGATCGGGACAGCTGCGCACCATCAGCTGCGCGTAGAGCGAGACCAGAGCACACTCATCCACATCGGAGCTGGTGCAGAGCGTTAAGCAGCGCTCGTTGCATTGCTGGGTGTCAACATGGCCCAGTTGGAGGAGCAGTGAAACCGTCAGCTCCAGCGCATCGTCGAAGCCTTGGGGATCGTTGAGAGACTTGAACAACAACTGTGACACGGTGCTGGGCTGAAAGACACCATGGTCCAGGAGAAAGGAGCCCAGCTGCTGGTTTTGTTGGATACTGCACATTTTTGCATTCTTGGTGACCTGAGCGCTGTATAGAGACTTGTGCAAAATCTCGAGCATTTTCAGCGCGAATATTTTGGGCTGATAAACATCGCAGAGCATGTCTTGCTCGAGCAGCTCCTGTAGCTGGCGGAAGAATCGCTTAATATCGTGAGCCAGTGCATCGCTGCCCGCGCCGCCATCCACTTTTAGAACCTTATTAAAGTGCTTGGCCGTGTGGTTGATAATATTGGGCATTTTGCCCAGCATTGTGTTGCGAAACTCGGAGCTTTCAACGCCGCGATGACGCTGCATGAAGCTGTAGAAGAACTCTAGGCAATCCTCTACAGCAAAATTGGACAGATTGTCGACCAGAAACTTAAAGATCAACAGCTGGGAATCCGTTTCAAAGGCGCTGCAGTTGGTCAACAGTTCTGTGCTAATCTTAAAGAAGTGCAGCTTGGATGCCACATAGATCTCCTTGGCGAACATGCTGAATATGAGTATTAGACGCTGCTGCTCACTGGCCGAACGTGCCGCCTCCGAGCTGGCCAAGAACTCGACAATCTCCGGCTTAGCCTGCAGCAGCTGGAACAGCGCATCGCGTTGCTGTATGCGCAGGAACCACTGCGAGTGGAAGTTTTGGATTTCAGCTACGCTGCCATTCACCAGCAGCTCCACAGCTAGCGCGAGCAGAGCGGGTGAGCGCTGGCTGCTCAGGCTCTTCACCGGATACTGACTGGCCGCACGCAGACCCTTGTAGCTCAGGCTCAAACGCAGCCCAGCAAAAAACTCTGCCTCGCTTTGACCGCTCGCAGCCAGCAGCTCTGGCAGACCATGGGAGTTGAGTATGCCGCTCAGCAGATAGTACTTGTTGCGATTCGTCCATGGCCAGAACCCAACAATGAGGCGGAAGTAGCAGAAGGCGCGTTGTTGCTGTTTGCAGCAGTGATTGAAGAGCGTGAGTGTCTCCTCCCGCGAGCCCACCTGGCTCTGGCGCTGCAGGCAGTGGTAGAAGTGCTCCAGCTGCAGCGTGAGCAATTCCAGCTTGGGAAACTTCTTCACCAGCAGATTGGTAGCCTTCAATTGATGAACCAGGCTGCTGCTGCTGTTATGCTGCAGTGCAGCAATGAGGGCATCCATGCACTTGGCCTCAATTAGCTGTGCATCCAGTCGCGACCAGTGGTCGGTCAGCAGCACAGCCTGCAGCATTAGAAAAGCCTGCGGCTGCTCACAGCACAGCCGCTGGGGCAGATCTGCAAAGTGTTCATCCGGCAGTTCGTATTTGTGCACGATGTGATAGTAGACGCGAAAGGTGACATTCAGAGCGGCCTGATTGATGCTGCCCGTGTCCGGCTTGTTTGCCTCCTCAATAATTTGGGCAGCTAGCTGGTCGGCCACCTCCTTGGGCAACGCATCCCCCAACGACTGTGAATAGTTGATTGCAGACAGTAATTAGGCAAAAATAAGTAATTAAAGCAGCCGGCGAGCTTACCTGCAGATAGGAAAGACAGTCGCTGTGTTTATTAGGCGGAGTCTCGCGCACTGGCAGCGCTGCAGCCATTGTTAAACAGGACCCCCCTGGCTAACACGGTGGTTGTAACGAAACAAATAGGTTTTATGAAAGTCTTATACATATCGACCACACGTGCAGACTAATCGTTGACTATCGATAACAGCGATAAATGCTCTTCTTCAAAACGAGCATTTACGCGCTTATTGGTATGCGGTCTCACTGATTTGGTGCTTCAGTTCAAGATGGCGAACGATGCGAGCAAACTACTACTGTCTTCACACCAAGAAAAAACCAGTCATTATACGTAAATAAACAGAGTTTAAAGTGCAATTAGTATGTTTTTGGCTAACTGAAACTCTTTGCTTGATCAGCTACCTGAAGGAGTTCCGCGTGGAGCAGTGCCAGTCGTTCCTGCAGCACAAATGCAACCAGCATCGCCCCTTCGTTTGCTTCAATTGGCATTTTCAAAATCAGCGTCGTCGACGGCCAGTACGTAAACGCGATGGCACATTTAATTACAGCGCTGATAATTATTGCACCAAATATGATGAAACAACTGGAATCTGTCCCGAAGGCGATGAGTGAGTATCCATCCTAGGCAAATTGTGTCGTGTCGCTGTGTGTGATGTCAAGACGCCAACGCGAACAAACAACGACGTAGTATTTTTTCGTTTCCTCTTTGCGCTCAATTTTCTTTGCAATGTGTGTGTATCTCTTGGCTTCGTGTTTACAAACAAAAACTTTTCGCGGGCCTGCGGAGTGGCAAAATAACGTCAACTAGCTAAAAGTGAAATTGATTGCGTTTGCTTATATGAAAGTTCCTATGTGTGCGTGTGGGTAAGCTAGGCGCACCCTACAACGAGGTCACCGCCGCCAGCCACCCACAAAATGCAAAAGTGAAAGTGATTTAAGCGATAAAGCTGTTCGAGCTCGGAAATTCTAATCGGCGTTTGCCTAACTGAGGGTTGTTGCTCTCGCACACACTCTCAAATGCGCAGCAGCATTTATAACTGCTACAAGTGTGTGCGTCATTGTTTTTATTGCGTTTCGCTTTTGCGCGTATTTCCTTCAGTTTATTTTGGTTTTCCCCCGGCGTCGTCGTCGTAGTAACAACAGCAGCAGCAGTGGCACTTTGAAAATGTACAGTTATTGAGCAAAGCTTTCCCTCAAAGCTTTGAGCAACGAACGGCTGTGCATGAAGGAGAGCGACAACAAAATAATACGCAATTCCATTTTCTGCAATAACAAACAACAACAATTCTGACCTAGACTTGAAATGTGTGTACGCGCGTGTGTGTGTGTGTGTGTATGTGTTACTGTGCATGCATGTATGTATGTGGTTTGCCCCAGGTTTTACTGCTGCTTTAACTGTAGGTTGGGAATGAGCTGCTGCCTTGCTATTTTTAGCACGCGTTTAGGTCCTTTTCTGCGTCACTTGACATTGCTCTTTCCATTTTTTTTTTTCACCCACTTTCACTCTCGCACAGATGCCCCTTCCTACACCGAACAGCCGGCGACACCGAGCGTCGGTATCATTTACGCTACTACAAGACATGCATGTGTGTGCACGATACGGACAGCCGGGGATATTGTGTGAAGAATGGACTTCACTGCGCCTTTGCGCACGGCATGCAGGACCAGCGGCCACCGGTGTATGATATCAAAGAGCTGGAGACACTGCAGAATTCGGATATATCGTTGGACGGAACCAATGCACAAAATGCGCTCGATAAGGAGCGAAACCTAATGAACGAGGATCCCAAGTGGCAGGACACCAACTATGTGCTGGCCAACTACAAAACCGAGCCATGCAAGCGTCCGCCCCGTTTGTGTCGCCAGGGCTATGCCTGTCCACAGTACCATAACAGCAAGGATAAACGTCGCTCGCCCAGAAAGTACAAATACAGGCAAGTTGCGCTCACTATTTCTAGTTACACATATATGTTAACATTAATTATTGCCTTTGTAGGTCCACACCATGTCCCAATGTCAAGCACGGCGAGGAGTGGGGCGAACCGGGTAACTGTGAGGCCGGTGACAATTGCCAGTATTGTCACACACGGACCGAGCAACAGTTTCATCCGGAAATCTACAAGTCCACAAAATGCAACGATGTGCAACAGGCTGGCTACTGCCCTCGCAGCGTCTTCTGCGCCTTTGCGCATGTGGAACGTAAGTAGTCCTGGCATGGCCCACAAGTATCTACATATATAGTCCTTGGGACCCAAGCGCTGTTCTCCACAACCATAGCGGGGCGGTTGTATCAGATATTTATAGTTTAGATTAGGTTCATATGTTAAGTACATACTTTGGTTGATATCGTTTAATTGTTTGTTTGTCTTTTACTCACTCTCACACAATAATCGAATTTGTGTAAACTCCTTGAAATGATATGAAATCAATGCATCAATCAAAATCCGCTTTGCTGCTTGTCCATTGTTCCCTCCTCAAGCTTATCTTGTCAACGAGCAGAAAAAGCGCGATCAAGAAATTGCCTTAAGCGAAATCATTTCGAATGGTTTGTCCGGTATGAAGATGCAGGATGAGGTCGCCAATGGCAAACTGTCTACAGGACTGCTCCAGCTGAGCAATAATGTACGTATTATCAAATGCAACACCAAATCACTTCTAAATATTCTGTGTGTGTGTTGGTGTGTGTGTATGCGCGCCCAGCACTTCGCTAACAATCTCTAACCCCACTCGATCACGAGCTAATCCAGCTAACCGCATCAATATGCAAGTCATTGAGAAGTTTGTGCCGCTCTCATTTGTTTCTTCGTCTCTCTTTTTCGTAGTTATTAAATATTGATGGTAATAATACAACCAACAAAATGTTTGTAGATGCTTTGGAAAATACAACTAATTCCAGCAAAATCTTAAATATCTCACTACCACTGGACAGCCATCGTGAGTAATATATTTACACAGATCTTTTCATTGTTTTCAACGATGGTTGTGGACAAAATGATAGCGCAAAAAGAAAAAAACAGAATACAAAAACAAAAGCAAAATCCCATCTAACCTAACTGAAACGAAACTAACGAATTTGTTCTTAAAATTATTTCAAGCAGCCTGTACATTGGAAGATCCACGCGAGAACTCGCTATCGGCAAGTCTGGTTAACACTAGTTTATTAACACGTTCCTCGGCGCCAATTAACATTCCTAATACGACACTAAGTAACTCTATTAACGGTGAGTCATTGTATAAACGTTAAACAACGGATCCATGCTAATTTCAATTATCAACTCTTCTCCCATATAGACTTCAATTCAGGTGGCTTTGCCGTCAACATTCCCAGCAGCTCGCTCACATATAGCCCGACAAATCATGCCAATCTATTCAATGTGTATGGCGCCTCCAATAAGCTGAGCAATTCCCTATCGGCTGCTACGCAAAACGATAGTAATAGCATGTTCTTTCCGTCACGCATTATATCGCCTGGCTTCGGCGATGGTTTGTCGATAAGCCCATCAGTTAGAATATCCGAACTGAACACCATACGTGATGACATCAACAGCAGCTCCGTGGGTAACAATCTATTTGAGAACACTTTGAATACGGCTAAGAATGCGTTCAGCTTACAATCGCTGCAATCGCAAAACAACACCGATTTGGGTCGTATGACCAATGAGTTGCTCACGAAGAATGCGCAGATTCAAAAACTGTCCGTACGACTTGAGGAGCTTATGTGCAAGATAAAAATAGCCGAACTGCATCGCGATAAGGCCAAACAGGAAGCCTTGGAATGGAAGGACCGTCACGATCTAGTGCAAATACAACTCAATTTACCAGGAGAGTTGCGCGATTTATCCATACAAAAACTAAAGCAATTACAAGTAGGTATTCTCCATTGTATATTAAATACATATTAAGATTTTCGTAAAACAAACAAATTTTTAGTCTAAACTGCGCACCGATTTGGAGGAAGTAGACAAAGTATTATACTTGGAAAACGCCAAGAAGTGCATGAAATGCGAAGAGAACAATCGAACCGTTACTTTGGAGCCCTGCAATCATCTGTCCATTTGCAATACATGCGCCGGTTCGGTTACCGAGTGCCCCTATTGTCAGGTGCCGGTAATCACAACACACACATAGAATATGTTTTAAGCGCTCCAGAACTTTGGATGAGCCCCCCCTGTGCCTAATTGGTACAGAGCGTGTTCACAGTGACAATGGGCGATAGAAACTCAACTTTAATTGTAAGCAAAATGTTAAACGTCTAGCAAATATGCCACGCCTGGCATATGACAGAGCTTACATATATACTTATATTATTTATATTACTCTATATGCAAATTAATTATCTTGGATATTAGCAATTACTAGGCACAAAATATGTAATTCGTTTAGCAAGCAGCTATGCATTTGAAATTTATTACTCGTCTAAATTACGCTACAGGAAATTTTCTTTATATATATTTATTTTTTGGTTTATTTTCATTTCATTTTTTTAATTTTGTGTTAATTTTAGTTTATATATACAATTCGTATACATAACAGTTTCAAAGTTTCTCGTATGTCCATGACATTTTATTTTGTATGAAACGAATTTGCAATATTATTGTCTTTATTTTTTTTATTATTTCTGTATTCATAATTTGCTACACTTGCAGTCACTATTCACTAGTATTAATTAAACAAATAAAATCATTTACATTTATATGAAATACCTGTACACGTTCATATATTTTATGACGATCATTTTTGCCGCTTCTATAAAACATTTAAAGAAAAAATCAAATTGACTAACAACAAATGAAAACCACCAGTGATTTTTATAAACCAATTGTCTAACTACAAATATATGTATTTTTTAGGTATGTTTAAATGAAATATAAAGAAATCAAGATTTTGTAATTAAGAGATTTCTAGGCAAGGTTCACGTTTTAGCGTCTTTGATGAAGGAAAGACCCAATTGAATGCAAATTTTTCATGGGCGTACAAAATATTGAAAATTGTAGAAACTGCAATATCTATTCGTAGTGCTGCGACATTGGTCAGTTTGTACAATTTCTCAGCCTATACTATACTTTTAATTTTCGTATGTCTGCATATTAGCCAGATAATTATAAACCAATTTTGCATCTATTTAACTATAGTTACATAAATGATTTCACTTACACACTAAGAGAACCGACTAAAAACTTTTTAAATAATTTGTATTTGATGTATTTCACTTTTATACGCTACTAGGTTACTATGTGATTTCTTTAGTGCTTTAAGTACGTTTTTTCTAATTTTTTTTTAAACTTTTAAATTTAATATAAAGCTTCCAATGAAAATGCGGTCAAAGGTCAGATAAACGATATATCGAAGTCAAAAATGTATATTAATGGCCAATGTTAAGATGGTACAAGATTATTAAATACACAATATTTACAACAAAAAATTGAAGCGTGTGATGTAAAAGATTAAACAATAAACGTAACTCAAGACAGCGAATACAGTCTATGATGAATGTTAACCGAAGCTAATATAAAACCGTCTTCAAAATATTTTTCACAAAAGCAAAAAGTTAATGTATTGTATTGTATGTATTGTAGCTTATAACAAAGTTGAGCATCTATATAAAATATAATGAACTCTAACGTATTATTAGTTATAAAACTAATGGCAAACATGTTGATCACTTAGGGCATAAAAGTAAACTATTTAAATATGAAATTCACATGCAGAAACTTAGGCATTTATTGAAAATAAAACAGATAGAAACCCAAAATGAAATCATAACATATAGGTATACTTATATTAAAGGATATGAAAATATATTTGATAGCTAACTAGCTAAGCAGCGCAAAGGCTTTTGTGTGTATGTAGTAGCCAAAAATTAATGTATCAACTATACAATGATTAAATGTGCATGTTAATGTGTGTTGCGATTAAATGCTTTAATATTATTACTGTTCTACACAAAACCAAAATAGAAACAATAACAATACAAAATGGAAAGACAAGTTAAAGCAATTGAAAGAACATTAAACACACATGAATAAAAAAAAATACAAAAAAAAAATGGTTTTATAATGGAGCTGTTGAGTGCTAAATTTGAATGCTTATACTGAAGCTCTTGCGATATACCCTCTAACTCTGAATAATTGGGCACAACGTATTTATAGCAATAAACATTAATCTTATCTACAAGCACAAACATCGTATTACTAGCAAAGCAATTTAAAACACACATCTCAGCTACGACAAACGAAACCATTTCATGACAACTCAATACAAATCAGATAACTAATTAACTGAGACATATATACACACAATGTATGGAAAACGTATGTATTTTGTATACGCTACTGTAAGAGTGATCTTTATGTGATTTTGAAACTACTTGAATATGTGATCCAAAAATATATAAAAACAAAAAAAATAAAGAAAACAAAACAAAAAAAACTTAATAATGAACAAAAATATATAAATATACATTTATGCAAGCTCTCGCCAGAATCAGCAGTTAATGAATGATTACCAACTAAACTAAAACTTGATGTACAACAATAATAATAAACAACAACAACAACAACAAAAAATGCTCCAGCTCCATTTAGAAACAAAAGCAACAAATGAAACACACAAACACACACACACATACATTGGTCGTTCGCCAGGCAAACAAAAGAAAAAGAAAGAAAAAAAATGAAATATTCATGTACGCCAAATAAAAGGAATATATTAAGAAATGAATAAAAAAAAATAGATATATATATATATTTGTCTAAAGTATCAAATGTATTTATAGTTAGCTTAAGAGTTCTATCAGAAACACCGACAATGTGGAAAGGTCAAAATTTGGAATGGCAATTACGTAGAATTAGTACAATAATGAAGTGTTTGCTACTAGTTGTTTCATAGTTAATACGTTTAACAAATTATATAAATATGCTAATGAAACTGTAACTAACGGTTTATGCTCTACAGAGAGAGGTAGAGAGGCAGAGTCCTAACACACCAAACCAAACGTTGAACACCGATTAGGAATTTTTAAATGTGGAAATCCCGTTAACAGTAATTAAAGCAAACTCAACTAAATATATAAAACTTATGTATGTAAAGCAATTTTATGCAAACCAGCCCACAATACAAAGCAACAAATGGAAACAAGCAAATGATTTTTTTTTATAATAATGTGTGAAACTAAAGTTAAAAGCAAAAAAAAAAAAAAAATGGCAACTAAACAAACATTTACTAGCAATTTTTATACAAAATGCTGAACTATTGAAACAATTTAGACAGCTCTACAGAAGCGAACTTTTACATAGGCTCTAATTTATATAAGAAATATATAGAATATCTATGAAAATACCTATGTTGCAGATGCATAACTCTCTCCACAAACAAACACAAATACACACTTACAATATTTAAAAACATTTGGTTTTTAATTTTTACCCAATTCTTGATTACAATGTTTCGGCTCGTGATACTACGAAAACTTAAGCACAAGGCATTGTTGTGGTTTGTGTCCCGGCTAAGCAAAGTTGTGAAAATATCAAATCTCCGTACATTGATTTCCGATTGCGCCGGTCGCAATAACCACCTGTAGTTATCTAACGCCCCGAGGTCATGGTCATAGATCGCTCAAATTAAAACTTGATACCATTTTGCGAGCAACAATGCCGTCAAAACGCACTTAACGCTACTTCCGATCAAATTTATGTTCTGGTCTAGGCATTAAAAAATCAATTTTATTGGGGCAACAGTTTTATATTGTACTTAGCTTAGAGGCCAATACATACCGCGCAATAATTTGCCCACTCAGGCACATGTTGTAGTTAAGCAGAGTTATTAACTAAAGAATATACTAATATATAGATATATAGAGAGACAGAATCAATATTTGTGTGTAAATGTATTTCGACAGCAGCTATCGCAAGCAATAGACTCGACTGAATTTCGAGGCAAACCAAATCAATTGCATATAATAAGAACTAACTAAACTTGATAACGATTGTACGAGTATTAACATATTAATTATGAAAATAGCAATATTAACAAATTTGTGTAGTAATTTAGTTAACAACTATTTGCAAATATCGAATGAGAAACTGTTTAAAGGCCGCAAAGGAAAGCAAATTAATATGACAGAAAAACGAGTCTGTTGATATGAGTACTATTTATGTATATGCTATGCAATTAACAAATTGATGAATACAATATTTAAGTATATAGAAATATACACACACACACACACATATATATATGTATATGTGCATGTAATACTGATTAATAAAAGTGTGTTTAAAGGCTGTGTGTGTGTTTTATTGTGCAGAGTCCTCTGTTTGCAGACTTAAAACGAAAGCATCGACGACGAGCAGACAAAAGCCAAGGCGCTTGTGGTTCCCATGCGTGATTCCAATCTGCCCAACAACAGCAACACCAATAGCAACAACAACAACAACAACAGCAAACTGCACACACAAAGAGCAACCACACACACATACACAAGCCAAGTGAAAAGGGCAATATAAAAAGGCAAAGGCTGAGCAACAACAGCAGAAACTCGTAAGAATTTTAAAATGCACGATAATCGTTCAGTGATAGCTAAGCAAGCCGACAATGCCCCATACCATCGCGCCGATACCCCCGCCACCGACACCGCCACCACCAACTGCCAACTGACAACGGTGCCTGGCTGCCACTTTAACCTGAGCCCTCTCTCTGAGCCGCAGACGATGAGGTCCAGGGAGCCAGTTTGGAAACAAGGTACGCTGCGGCTGCCGCTGCTGCTGCTGCTGCTGCGCGATATCGCCGCGTTCGCGCGTTAAACACAAGCGCAACAATTTTTATTCTGTCAGCGAACGCGTGCCTGTGTTTGTGTGGTCCCGGCCTCAAACTGGACTGTGCCTGTGCCTGTGCTCGAAACTGGGCTCTGTGTGTGGACTTCGTTCGGGTCCTGCTGGCTGCTGCCTGCTGCCTGTTGCCTGTCGACTGATGATCTTGCGTGGAGATCTCACGCGCATGCGCCTTGCCCTGACGCTGGCGTTGTGCATGTGCTCGGGCATATTAGTTGGCTGATGCATTTGGGCCATGATCGGTTGCGTAGTTCTGGACTGGCGTATAAATAGTTTTTATGAGCGCAAAAGTGTTGCCATTTTTCATGTTGGGCTAAACGGCCGCAGCCGTGTCGCTCCTCTCAATCCTCTCGACAGACTATTTTTAGACGCAACATTTGCGACAAGAGCATCAGCATCAGCATCAGGCTTCCATGTTCATGTTCTGCCGTGTTTCGCACGCTGCACGCTACACGCATTTCCACTCGAAACTTGTTTTGTTGTGTGTTGGCTGCCGCCGCCGTTTCGCTGTTCGCTGTTTCGCCCGTCCGACTGCCAGACCGCACGACCGACCGACCGATCGCCCGCCCGCCCGCACATCCCGCCGTGATTTGTAACACGATACGTTTTGCCGCCGCCGTTGACTTGGACGCTGCTTGTGTGCCGGCCAAGGGGGATACGTAAAATACTACTATAAACCGAGAACGGAGCTCTTGGCTGCCTGCGTCTAATGCATTTTTCTGCTCCTTTGCATTGCTGTCTGCTTGGCTGCCGGCCCCGGCCCTGGCCCGGCGAGCAACAGCTCATTAGACATTTTTAATTTGACAATGCGCGCTATTTATGTGGGAATTTCATGGCGCGCATTTTGAGTCATCGAAACGAAAGACTTAGGCAACGAACTTGGCGTGCTTACTTTGTCTTACGTTGGATTTCGCCTGCCGCCTGCCGCTTGCTGACTGCTGGGTGCTACCCAGGCAAGGCGAAATCAATTTTCAATTTGCTTCACATTGCAGCGACCGCCTCGGGGCCCTGCCAGAAGCATCGCAGATCAAAGCAAAAGACAAGAGCGAAAGAAACAGAAAAAAAAAACAACAATAACAACAAAAAACCAAAAAAAATCTATTTAACTGGCACAGGCGTTGACGTTGACGTTGACTTTGGCTTTGGCTTCAACTTAACGAAGTGTGGCCGCCCTGCCCCGCCCTCGTTGCCGGGATCGGGCCAGCATTCCGTTTGTGGTTTTTGTGGCTAACGCGCCACGAGCGGCACACACATAACTAAAACAACAAAAGCGACAGCGCAATAGCATTTCGAAATTGAAAACTTCAGAAAACTGGCAATTTTCTAAGTCCGGACTGGGAGTGGGACTCGATGTAGGTGCAGGCTGCAGTACCAGGGGTCAGAAGAAGCTGCTATTGAGGCTGTGACGTTGCCGGTCATCAACTTTCCATAATCGGCGCGCAGACAACAAACAACTTGAGCCCCGGCTAACAGCGCTGCCCGCCCGCTGGGTAGACAACAACAGCAACAACAACAGGAACAAGCGCCACTTTGCTGTCAATTCAAAATGATAATGCAAACAAATATTAACCCACTCCAAGTGGACGCATGTGGCTGCCGTCTCATGGCACTTTCTGACAGCCCAGCGACACTCGAGTCGATGTCGACGTCGACCTGCCTGTGACTGTGGGAATGTGCCACGGTCTCCACACCGCCGCGGCTTAAATGCTTTTCCAGACCATAATGACTTTTAATTTTTATGGCACTGGCTGCCGAGGATGCCCATGCCCATGCCGATGCCCATGCCGATGCCGATGCCGATGCCGATGCCGATGTGGATGCAGCAGCGCGAAGCTTAAGTCGCATATAATTCAAGTCCATCAACGCATGCGCTTCACTTGGCCGACTCTCTGCACGCCATGATACACATTTAAATGCTCGCATGTTTGCCATCGGTCGCCGTCACCACTTGAGAGCGCATCCACATGGCCAGAGCACAGAGGAGGCGCTGTAGATGAATCTGAAGATGGGGATGGAGATGGAGAGAGATGCTTGAAAGGGCAACAGAGGCTCATCGTTGTTTAATATTTTAAGTAAGTGCTGCCACTTGGCTTCACCTGGATTTTCTTTTTTTCAATTTTATTTCCAATGTAAAGGACATACCATTATTCCTCCTACAATTCGAAAGTTCAACGTAACATATTTTTGACAATACAGCCAATATATAAATATCCCCAATTTTATTTGCCGCATAATTTCTAATAAATATCTAATAGATATTATATTAAGTATTTAAAAGGCCATACTAACTTGGGGAGCAGCTATTAAAGACTTGATTCATTATTATATCTGGTTATTCCAAAATATAATCAACAGTACGTTAAGAGCTCGTGCCATAGTCGTTAAATGTGTGCAAAACCCATGCTAGATGTGCGTTGGCAGCGGCTTTTAATTGAAAAATTCCCAAAATATTATTTACATTCAGTTAACACATCACATCTGTTAGACAATCTAGCGATTATTTTAATTTTTTTAATGAGATAGTTTCATTTATGATGCCGTTGTTAATATCAAAAATTAGGTAAATATTATGTTATATGACAAAGTGTTATGGTATTAGGTTTTATTAAACCTGCCGAAGGCCACAGTAGACACGGTTGTATCCCGTATCCTCCCATATCCTCCTGTATCCTGAAAAAGGTATATTGGTTTGCTGTGAACGAATGTATCATGCTTATTATAGTTAAAGTTTTTTTTAATTTCGAACGTAGTTCTAGTAGGGCC